GGGGCCGGGGCCGGGGCCGGGGCGGGCGGCTCGGCGTCCCGCCGCGGGCCCCCGCAGCTCTCGCCGACCTCGTGCACCAGGAAGAGGCGCGCCATGTGCCGCAGGATGAGCGTGCGCGCCCAGCGCGGGACGGGCCGCGCGCCGGGCCCGCAGTGGTGCAGGTTCATGATGAAGATGGTCAGCGCCGTGGAGGCCGTGATCAGGGTCATGGTGGCGATGTAGTACTTGCCTGCAGGGGCGAGAGCGCCCGGCCCGTCAGCCGCTGCCGGAGGAGAGGTCCCTGCCCCGGGCGGGCGCGGGGAGGGGCGCCAGCGGTGGCGGGGCTCTTTCCGCCCCGGAGAAGCCTGGGGGCTGCATTCCGGTGGGCAGGACCAAAGCGGGCTAAAGCTCGCCTGCCAGCAGGAGGCCTGGGGGCTCTCCCGCCTCTTGGAAGAGGGAGCGGAGGCGCCAGAGCGCTGGGGGGCCCCTGGCCAGAGCTCCCCGCACTGCTCGGCCGGTTTGAGTTGCCTTCCGGCAGGGCTGGCCAGCAGGGAGAGAAGCGAAGGGCACCGGCCCGCGCCTTGGTTTGGGGTGTCCCGTGCAGGGAAGGCCCGGGAGGAGTCCAAGGCCTTGTCAGCCCACCGCATCTACCCCAGCCCACACAGGACCCCCGCTTGTGGAACAGGCCTGCCGCAGCCCCCTCCACCCATGCTCCCCAGCAGCTGGGGCACGCGGGCGTCCAGCCTCAGACGCAAGCAGTGGCATGTGGCCAGCAGGATCAGCAGCCATGCATGGTCGTCTGCCGGGAGTGCAGGGGGCAGAGGCCCTGGGAGGCTGGGGCAGTGGAGCGGCCTGGGGCAGCGGGTGGACGGTGGGCTGGGCCGAGAGCCAGAGGAGCTTCCGAGGGTGGACTGGCAAACCCGCCCGTCCTGACTGAGTGCCCAGCCCCATGGAGCGAGGAAGGCCCCCCAAGACCCTCGGCTCAGCCTCCTTCTCAGGGTCCCAGCAGAATGGCCTTCCCCTGCCTGCCACCCAAAACTAACATGCCCATCATCCACAGCCCACTCTTCCCACTGGGGAGGGGTTGGCCATGCCGCCCCGTCCCCTGCAAGCCCCCCCGTCGGCCGCCATCAGCAGGAGGCCGGCCCGGTGCCGCCACAGGTGCCATGGCGGGGGGGGGCGGGGAGAGGGGCCCGGGGCCCGGCTCAGGAGGGCCCTCACCGATGAGGGGCACGTTCTCCGAGGGGGGCATGCTCTCCGCCACCAGCAGCTGGAAGACGGTCAGGGCCAGGAGCACCGTCACGCCCAGCGAGACCTTCTCCCCGGAGTCTGCGGGCAGGTAGAAGCCCAGCGGGGCCAGGAGGGAGATGAGGATGCAGGGCAGGAGCAGGTTGAAGACGTAGAAGGAGGCGCGGCGCTGGAGCAGCAGCGTGTAGGTGACGTCCGGGTAGGGCTCCGAGCAGCAGCCGTAGACGACCACGTTGCGCGTGGCCGGCATGCCCAGCACCTCCCACTCCACGTTCTCCACGAAGTCGGCCAGGTCGCCCGTCTCCTGCTGGTTGAGCAGGTCGATCTGGTTGCCGTTGTAGGTCCAGGAGCCGAAGGTCAGGCGGCACTGCTGCCCGTCGAAGGGGAAGTAGGAGACGTCCACCCGGCACGAGCTCTTGGTGATGGCCGGGGAGTCCCACGTGACCCGCCCGTCGTGCCGGATCACCACATTCGTCTCCATGGAGCCGGCGAACTGCTCGTCCGCTCTGGGGAAGCGGGAGAGGGGAGCCGCGTGAGGCACGCCGGCCCGGTGGGGCCCCGTGCGGGCCGCCGGCCGTGCTGCCAGAAGGCAGCCGCAAGGGAGGCCAAGTGGAGAGGCTTGCCGCTCGCCCGCTGGAGACCTTGAGCCGTGGCGGGCTCTGGGGGCCGAGGCCAGGGCCGCCCTCCGAAGCACCCCCGGCCCTCCCGGAGAAGAGGGCCCGTTTCGGAGCGGCCTGAAGCCTTGGGCCCAGCAGAGCCGTCTGTGACCGCAGCGGCAGCAGCTCCTCCAGGGGCCTGGCGGGACTTCAGGGAGCCTCGTGGGAGGCCAGTCGGCCCGCCGGCGTCCTGAGGGGCAGCGGGCACCGGGCCTGCCACCCTCATCCTGCCCGTGGCGGCTTCTCCCCTCGCCGAGGAGGCGAGTGCGTGGAGCCACTGGACAAGCAGCCCTCAGAGCAGCTGGAGGGAAGCACCACGGCCGACAGCCCCGGGGAACCGTCGGGCCAGCGGGTCTGAGGCAGCCGGCAGCCTGGCGGGCAGCAGACCGGGGTTCTGGGACCCCTGCAAGGACACCCACAGGCCCAGATGCTCTCCTGAGACCTCCTAAATTCTGGACCTCTCGGCGGCTTTTGATACCATCGACCATGGTATCCTTCTGGATAGACTTGCGGGATTGGGGGTTGGAGGCACTGCTTTGCAGTGGTTCCGCTCCTATCTCGACGGTCGATTCCAGAAGGTAGTGCTGGGGAACCATGTCTCTACGTCATGGCAGCTATGCCATGGGGTACCACAGGGCTCCATTCTATCCCCTCTGCTATTTAACATCTATATGAAACCGCTGGGAGAGGTCATCAGGAGGTGTGGGCTGCGGAATCATCAGTACGCTGATGATACCCAGCTTTACCTCTCATTCTCCACTAATCCAGGTGAGGCTGTGGCTGTGCTGAACCAGTGCTTGGCCGAGGTAAGGGAATGGATGAGGGCCAATAAACTGAAACTCAACCCAGACAAGACGGAGGTCCTGTTGGTTGGCGGATCGGGTTTCGGAGAGGGTGGATTTGACCTGGTCCTGAATGGTGCAACACTCCCTCTTAGGGATAAGGTCCGCAGCTTAGGAGTACTCCTCGACCCGGAGCTCTCTTTGGAAGCTCAGGTGACAGCGGTAGCGAGGAACGCCTTCCTTCAGCTTTGGCTGATTGATCAGCTGCGCCCCTCCCTGGAGTACGACTGCCTGGCGACGGTGACACACGCGCTGGTGACTTCCCGCCTAGACTTCTGCAACGTGCTTTACGTGGGGCTTCCCCTGAAGACAGTCCGAACACTTCAATTGGTGCAAAATAGAGCTGCCAGGTTGCTGACGGGGACGGGGCGTTATGCTCACATGACTCCAGTCCTCCATCAGCTTCACTGGCTTCCCATTGAAGCCCGGGCCCAATTCAAGGTGTTGATTATGACCTACAAAGCCCTAAACGGCTTGGGTCCTGGCTACCTGAACGAGCGCTTACGTCCGTATATGCCCGACCGCCCTTTGAGATCTGCGGGAGAGTCCCTTCTCCGGGAACCCTCCATGAAAGAAATTAGGAGAGTAAGTACCCGGAGGAGGGCTTTCTCTACGGTGGCGCCCAACCTATGGAATTCACTCCCCAAAGAGGTCCGCCTGGCACCATCGTTACTGGTTTTTCGGCGCCAGGTAAAGACCTTTTTATTTAAACATCATTTCAATTGTTAAAACATATGATCTGGCCTGGGCAACTTCTTCTTCCTTCTCTTTCTCCTCCTATATTTTTATTTTATACTGATAATTTTAATTTTGTATTTGTAAATCAATGTATTTTTTTGTATTTTTATATTTAATGGTAATTTATTATGTACTATTGTATTTCAATGTATTTTATCATGTTGTAAGCCGCCCCGAGGTTTCGGCAAGGGGCGGCATAGAAATGTTATAATAATAATAATAATAATAATAATAATAATAATAATAATAAATCAGCCTCTTTGCCCAGGTCTTATTTGCATTTGATGACTGTGAAAATCCTAAGACAACAGACGACAAATGGGCTGAGCCGGAGGGCAGAAGGAAACCCAGTCCGTGAATTTTCACCTCCAGATCACCCAGACTTCTGGGGATTCTGGGAGGTCTGTCTGTCTGTCCTCTAGCCCATCCCTTCCTCGTGCCAATCCCCATCTAGCGCATGGCGTTTATGGCAGGGGGGGCCGGGGGGCCCCCTTAGTCACATGCCCCCCGCCAAGTCCGGTGATGCTCCTGGAAGGCCAGCCTCTCGGCTGCCGGAAGCACCCCCTCCTCTCCGCCCCACGCGCGGCGGACCCACTTGTTGTAGAGAACGATGTCTGGCCGCCAGACGTAGCTGCTTGGGATCCGGATCGAGTCAATGCCGCCGTACGCCTCCTTGTTCCAGCTGAGGTAGGCGTCTACCCAGACCTGCCGAATCCACAGGTAAGCCGTCAGGATCTGGTTCCTCTCGTCCTGGAACACGAGAGGAAAAGGGGTCTCCGGGGCCCGCCAGCGGGAAGGCACGGCGCGCCGGCAGGGCGGGCTGCAGGGGCCCTGGGGCCATTCTTCCTGTGCCCCGCCTCCCTGGGGCATCCCGGGGGCAGCCGGGCCGGAGCGCTTTGGGCGCCATCCGCTTGCTGGCAGGCCTCCAAAGACACATGGGGCGCGACCCGAGGGCCCCCGGGCTGGCGTGGGGCTGCTCCCTGTGCTTGCCTGCAGAGCGGTGCGAGGCGCGCAGAGGCCCCGCCGAGCCGCCCATGCCGCCAGCAGGCGCCCGGCACGTGGCCGTCGAAAGGCTGCGCTGGCCCAGGCAGGCTGCGTCAAGCCGCCCCTGAGGGCGTCAGCCCTGAGCAGCAGCAGGGCGGACGCCGGCTCCTCTCCAGCGCACCCGTGTCCCTTGCGCCCGCGGCTGGCCGTGGGGCGACGCCAGTGCCTGACACGAACGCTCAGTCTGGGGCAAAGGGCCCAGAACCAGCCTGGAGGCGGCAGGACGGGCCCCTGGCGTGTCCCTGGCCACGCGAGGCAGCCGTGCCGCTCGGTAGTCCCGGGGAGCCCGTCCCGCCCGGCCGCCGCCACCTCCCGTGGGCAGCCGGGGCCCAGCAGGGAGCTCGCCAGCGGGCGCCCCAGCGACTGGCAGCGGGAGGCGGAGGTGGCACGCGGGTGCCTCCTTCCGCCAGCGCCCGATCCAAGCCGGGGGCCCTCAATACCTCGCGGCAACAAGGAAGTTCCCCACCACCCCGGGAGCCTCTGTGCCCGCCGAGCGGGGGCTGGACAGCCCCTGGCAGCGGGGCACGAGCCTGGGGCAAGGAGGGGCTTTCAGGCCAAGATGGCGCCAGCCCGTGGCCCCCGAGTCGCCGGCTGGCCGCTCGAAGGTGCGGCCGGGCTCACCATGTCGATGATCTGCGACAGCGTGACCTGCAGCGTGACGTTGAGCGCCCGGTCCGTGTCTTCCGCTGGCCGCAGCGCGTTGGAGTAGTTGGCAAACAAGTCCCCGAGCAGCTTGTACGCGAACTTGCCCTGTGCCCCCGAGCTGCCTGGGGAAGGGGGACCGAGGGTGGGGAGGGGAGAGAGAAGGAGCACGTAAAGCTTGGGGAGGCTGAGGGGGCACGGAGCGGACACGGGCCTGGCCTACTCCGGCCACCGAGCACTTCGCTGTGGCAGCAGAATGCAAGCAGAAGCCAGCCAGGGCCCACTGCTTCCTCCTCTCCTCTCCTCTCCCGCCTGGCCGTGGCGCCTGGGCGCTGCCACTCGTTCTGCCGGGCTCCCACACTCTGGGGCAGCTCTGCTCTGAGGCAGGCCTGGGGCCCAGAGGGTCTCTGGGACGTCTCTCTCCTGCCCCCTTCTGAGCACGGCCCTCTGCCATCCTCCCGCGCCAGCCCACATTCTCCAGCCTGGAGCTTCCGCTGGCATCTTCCCCTCGTGGCGCCCGGTGCCCTCTGCCCAGAGAGGAAGCCTCGCCAGCCCCGGCACAGCTCTCGCTCGGCCCTCCCATGTGGGGACACGATTTGATCCTCGCCCCCTGGCAGGGAGCCCCCGCCCCGTGGCTGGGTTCTCGTGCCAGCAGCCCGTGGGGGGCAGCTCCCCAAGATGGGCTCGCGTTCTGCGGTGGGCTCTCGTGGGTCCCTTGGGGGGCTTCCTGCTGCTTTTGTGGCTGCTTTTGGCGACTCGCCGCCCTCACAACCCGCGGTTTATCGTAGGGGTCGTTGGCACCACGGTGGGTTGTTGCATTGGCCGCATGTGGGAGGCCAGTGGCACTGGGGAAGTGGCAAGCCTCTTGCCAAGACCAGGGAGCCCCGCTTGCTGCCCTCGCCAGGCTCGCCCGGGCCGGGCTGGCTTGCTCCCTGCGCTCCGGTGGCAGCCGCCTTCGGGTCGGTCCAGACAGTCCCACGGGGCTCTGTCAAAGTCCCCGATCCAGAGGAGAGCGCACTTTCGACTGCTTCTCTTACAGGGTGGGGGCAGTAGCCATTGCGCTGCTGGAGAACCCGGAGGCTCAGGGAAGTGTCCAAAGGCGGCAGTCCCTGGAAACCGTTGGGGCGATGTTTAAAATCTTGAGGATCACACCGCCCTGGGGGAGAGCTGCCTGCAGCCCGCTTTCCCCAGTGAAGATCCGCCTGCCGCCTGGCTTGCCTCCTGAGGGCCATCAGGTGGAAGGCCATCTGGGCCGGGCCTGGCCAGTTGCTGTGGGTGTCGCCGCCCACATTTTGGCACGAGACACTGGCCGGGACACGGGCCAGGCAAGACTTCCTGCGCAGGCCAGTTGGAGGTCGGCAAACACCCCTCTCCCCTAACATACAAAAAATCAGAAGTACTGTGCACATTTCTGGCAGCTAAAGATAATGGGGAAAGTGGCAGCCTGCTTGGGCGCTTTGGAGGACCGCTGCCCCAGGCGACCCTGTGAAGGGGTCCCGAGAGAAAAGAAAAAGGGGGGGGGGAGTGACCAGAAAGCGTCTGCAGTCACAGCAGAGCAGAGACCGGGCCGGTGCAGCCACCAGGCTCCCCGGGTGATAGAGGCGGAACCGGGGGACACGGTGGGGGGCAGCCCACAGTGACCACCGCTATCTGCTGGGCCCACGGAACAGCTCACGCGACGGGCCGGGTTGTCGTGTCATGGGAATGCAGCCCCTGCCCGGCTTGCTGTGTGTGAGTCATCCGAGGGGCCGGGCGTGAGCCACGGGCAGGGTGGGCAGACCTGGCGGCCCAACAGGCCACGCACTGGAGGTGTGGCTGAGGCGGGTTGGGGGCTGCGAAGGAGGGCGGGGAATCCACCAGTCACGGAGACCCGGGAGGGCCGCCGTGGGCTTCTGCCGAGAGGAGAAAGGGCAGGAAATCGGTGCAATGTCGCAGTAACGACCTGCACCGCTTTGAGATCTTAAAAAGAAAGTGGGATATTAATTGGTATTAATCCTAATCTAATCTAATCTAATCTAATCTAATCTAATCTAATCTAATCAATATTCCACTCCCATCCTCAGTGGCTCCACTGGGGCTTTTGGCTTTTGCACTGCCATGGGGGGGGGGGCGGGGGCAGGAAGATTCAGTGCTGGCTTTGGGGGAGTGTGGGGGGCACTGAACGCATCCCGGGGGCTGCATGGCGGCGGTGGGTGGTGCCCCCCGGCGATGCGCTGGGAACGGCGACGTCTGGTTTCCCCGGGGAGCTCGAGGCAGAAGCCCCCTCCAGGCAGGGCTCCTCGGGGCTGTGGTGGCGCCGCAGCCCCAGCTCCCGCCTCGCTTCTGCCCGTCTTCCCATCCGCACTTGCCGGGGGCGATTCCGCTGGGCCTGCGTCTGCCTCCAGCTGCTAGCCCATTCTTGAGAAGCGGGGCCACCGCTGGGAACAGCGAGGGAGCAGCTTCCGGTCTTCCTCCGCTCCTCTTACGACTCCCGTTTCTCAGGCACACCGTGTGCCCCAGGGTGGAAATGGCTCCTGTCAGGCAGGGGCCGGCGGGACCCTCTGTGCTTGCAAGGGCGGGGCTGCCAGGTCACCAGCGTGCGGGTGGGCATGTCCCAGCCCGGCCCACCCTCCGCCTGGGGCTCTCCCGTGGACCCGGGGCCCAGAGGCGCCTCAGGGTGGCGCACAGAGCATGGCAGACCCGCCTGCGCAAGGACGAGCCGGCCGCTGTGGCCGCCACTGCGTCATGTGAATTGTGCGTGGCTGGTCTTGGCAGCATCGCCTGGGGCGCGTTTTTCCCTCCATGGGACAGGCAGGGAAGCAAGGGTTCCCTGGCCAGCGCGGGGGAAACTGGGACTTGAACCCGGATCCCAGCTCCCCGAGGCTCTCTGGACCCCACTTCCCCCATGGCCCGTCCCCTCCTTGGCTTTGTGCTCGGGCCTGGCAAGACACGTCCACCCCTCCTCGGCCTGAAAGTTTAATGACGGTGTCCCGTTTCGCTGGCAGGCACTTCTATTGACATCTTGCAAGGTTCGCTTACAGATCAAGACACACCTTTTCCAATTACTAACCAGGTGCATTTCCAAAGGGCGGCTGCTGCCCTTGCACGGGCGATTGAATTGCAATTTAGACGATGGCCGTGTGCTGCGGCTCCAGCATGCCCGCTCCGAAGGCCGGGTTTCTATGGAGCTGCGAGGCACCCTCAGCCCCGTTTCCAAGTACGAAACTAACCAGAAAGACCCATGCAGAGGTGCCCATGGAGAGGATCTACCCGCTCCCTTGGGTGGGAGGTCACACCAGAAACCTTAGAATCGAATCGGCAGCAGCTCTGGAGCTGTTTGAGCGAAGGCTTGCAAAGCTCGTGGATGGACTGGCCCCAGTTTAGGAGTGCGCCTTCCTTCAGAGAGCAAGTTTGCAGTCGCTTGAGATGCCGCTTTCGTGATACGCCTCTTCTCACAAGCAAAGAAGAAATCCAGGCTCCATTACACTGGAGGGTGCCGGAAAGTCTTACCTGGCATCCAGAGCAGCCCCAGCAAAACCCCAGAAAGCAGGAAGGAGAGGCTGCCGGCCTGCAGAGGCATCTTCGCGCTTGCAAGGTGAACTGGGGGTAGAGCGGGATCTGTGGAGCGCCGAGGGAAGCCTTCCGACCGATCCCGGGGCACTTCAGGCTCGGCTCATGCGTGCGGAGGGCTGGTGTTCTGCCGAGAAGGTGACCCGCAGCTTCCGAGGCTGAGAACGCCGCTCCGTGTGCTCCAGCGCAAGCAAGCCAGGTCCCTTCGTGCGCTGCACACGCTGTTCTGGAGTGCAGCCTCTCCTTTCTTTGACAGCCACCGAAGGATTTTCCTTACTCGCCTTGAGTGAAGCACCTCCCGCCCCCCCCCCCCCGCCAGCGGGAAGTGGACCACGCCAAGTGAGGGCAGCCGCCGCACGGAACAAGGAGGCGGAAAATGGACCTTGAGGAAAGCGGGGCGACACATGTGCAGGTCCTCCGGATCCTGGTGCTTGCCAGTTTGGGTCTTTGCAGTGCATGAACAGTGGCTTTGGGTCCCATCAGCGGGCTCACTGGGACCGCAGCTGTGGAGAGGGAAGACAGCACACCCTTGCGAGTCTGCGGGGGGTGCGCAATCAAGAGAGCATTGACCGTCTGCTCGGGCGTGCAGGGAGCGTGCACGGCCGCCCCGGGGGACCCCCGCCATGCAGCACAAGATGCTTCCGTGACCTCTCGGGGCACTCGCTGTTTCGGGGTGGGGGGCTCTCGCAAGCGGCTTGCAGTAGGGGTCCAGACGACACAAGAGAAGAACCTTCAGGGCAGGCACCTCAAAGGACCGGCACGCACAGGTGGCGGGCATTCTGGATCTGACCAGGAGTCCCGCCTGCAGTCTAAAGCTGTTCTTCAGCGGCCACGTTCTCGCAAAGCCTCTGCGCACTTCGTCCTGAGAAGCGGATGGAGTCCAAGGAGCACTGACTGACTGAAGCGGGGTGTGCACCGCAGTAAATATGTGGGCCGCATTTGCCAGGCCCGTGTTTTGGAGATGGCCACATGCACGGCGGTTGCGGGCGCCAGTCCAAGCAGCGCCTCAGGGCTGACGCAGGAGCTGCCTTTGGCCACTTTAAGTCCCACGACTTAATTGTCGCAAGTCTCCAGGTTCCGCCCAGCCCAACACGGCTGTCTGCAGAAAACTGGAGCACGGCCTTTGCTCCCGCTGCAGAGCATCGTGTTCGCACTGGGGGATGGAGCCCAGAAGAGGTCGGCCATGCCCGCCTGCCCGAGGCGCCTCCGCCGGATGAGGCCCTCCGAGGCTGCGGAGCGCGGGCGCAGGGCGGTCAGCTCGTTTCCTTCCAAGGTGTGGCTTGGCTCGAGCCGCGTGCAGCTGGGGAGCCTGCCCCACACGTGCCGCGCAGGGTCCTGGGAGGGAGATGCCCAGCCGCCCTCGGCCTGCCCCAAGGTGTCGCGGGGCACCTCCTCGGGCTGGATCCTGCTGCTGCCCCTGGCGCTGTTCCCGTGTTTTGTGCAGCTTCCTTCAGCGCTTCCGCTGAGTGAATGTTGTCCACTTGCTTCGCGGGCAGAAGGCCTTCTGTGGAAAGGTGGCCTAATAGAATTAAATACAGAAATGGGTGCCTTTTGAGTCTGAATTATCTTGGAGTTGTCCTCAAAAAAATTAAAGTTTTATTTTTTGGAAAAAAAAAACCCCCCCCCCCCCCCCCCCCCAGTATCCAGGGTTTTTCCATTCGGGTTCCTTCTACTGGAAAAGGAGACGAGTCCCAAGATACACAACAGATACTCTTCAAACAGAGTCTTGCTGGAGACTCACCAATCAGCCCAGCTGCTTCTCAAAGTGCTATTCAAATACGGGGCCAGCTCCCTCACTCTCTTTCTGGAATTTCCAAAAAGCAAACATTGAAACCCGTTAAATTCTGTAACTTCTGGTTTTTTAAATGTTTTTATCTGTCATTCCAAATCTTGATGCATCATGATAGTTTTCCAATGTTCCCCTGATGATTTCTTCATGTTTCCATATTGTCCTTGTGTGAGGGTGTCGTGAGTGGAGCCAGCTGGTGCTGGAGGTCAGACTAGATGGCCCGCGAGACCCCTTCTGTCTTGCTCTGTTTCTATGCTTGTATTTTGTTCCTGCATATCACTCATTCAAAGTCTTATTCCCCTCCCTGCAAGGCATATGTGACATCGACTTCATAAAACACTCTGTGTATGCTCTGTTTCTCTGTAGTCAGTCTGAAACTGGCTACCCTGCAGTGCTGTTGTATTTTAGGAACATCTGTCAGAGCCAGTGTGGTGTGGTGGTGAAGAACATGGACTGGGACTCAGGCGATCCGGGTTCGAGTCCCCGCTCAGCCATGGAGCCAACTGGGTGACTTTGGGCCAGTCACAGACTCTCAGCCCAGCCTACCTCACAGGGTTGTTGTTGTGGGGATAAGATGGAGGAGGAGAATGATGTAAGCTGCCTTGAGCCCTTTGTAGGAAAAAGGCAGGATATAAATCACAATATAAATAAATAAAATAAAATAAATCAACCTTTGGAAGCTTCACTGCACGCCCCCTTTTGGATCCGGACATGATCCTTCGCTGGTCTGGAATCCTGACGACCACGACCGACATCGGGGCACGCAAGGAGGCCGCAATCTGCAGAAGGGATGGGAATCGTGTGGTAACAGAACGGAGAGACGTGGAACGGTTTCGGGCACAGTCCTGTGCAGGTTTAGACAGAAAAGTGCCCCACAGCTGCCGGCTTCTCCAGATCGAGCCGTTCCTGCGCCGAGATGGGAGCCAGGAGCTACTGGATTACCAGAAAGCCCCAGCAGCCTCGCCGGTATCTGTGCAACGAAGTCCCGGGGAGGAGCCAGCGTGCGTTTGGGGGGCCTCTGCCAGTTACGGCTGGGAAGCCCATCAGGATCGGGACCCCTCTGGAATCTGGGGTGGCCCAGGCGGCTTCTGGAACGGTGGACTGGCAGCAGCACAGCGAAGGGTGAGTTTGGGCGTGCAAGAAGCGGGGCGGTCCAAGGACACGTGGAGAGGTGTTCACGGACTCACTGGTGCGGTTTTGGTTCCGCAAAGCACGTTCCCCGCGGAGCACGGCTGTTCCTCAGTGCTCCTCCGGCCTTTCATCGCTCCCTGCTTTTGGTGAGGAACGCAAATGCCCTGGCTGAGAGGAACGGCCATATTTCCAGTAAAGTATTTTACAGTTGTTTCCTGCTTTCCCCCCCACACATTCAAAGTGGCTTACTGAATTCTCCTCTTCCAGCTCTCTCTCATCCCCACGACAGCAGCCCTGCGAGGTGGGCCGGGCTGAGAGCCAGAGACTGCCCCACAGTCACCCAGTGGGTTCCCTGGCTGAGCAAGGACCAGAACCCGGATCGTCTGAGTTCAGTCCCGCTCTTAAGCACGTCACTGCATGGGCTCCATCACTGACCCCAGAGCAAATGGTAAGCCGGGAGATGTCGCCTGGTGCCTGTTTATGCAGTCTACATACATGCGAACCGGACAGCAAGTGTCCTGAAGAGCCAGGCACCATGGGGACCCCGACGCCTCAAAGACTATGTCTGCCAGGACCCGCGAGCAGGGTGCTCCAGCCAGTGCTGTCCTCCCCATGCCCGCCAAGAGCCCGAGCTTTCCGGGTCACCGGCAGCCGTGCACAAAACAGTAACAAGACCTCAGCCGCTTCCAACGCGCTGCCGTCTCGACCCAAGCGAAGCGCAGCCCAACGCACAATAGCTGGCCGACCTGGCGAAGACCCGAGATGGGTCATCCCTCCCGGCCCTTCGATCGCCTGATGCGCCTTTTGCGGCTCTGGCTGTCACTGAGAAGGCAAGGCCAGTGCCCAGCTGGCTTCACGAGGGAGATCGTCTCTCCACTGAGGTCCCTGCCTTTGCCGCTGCCCTCCAAGCTTCCCTCGGTGTGGGCCTCCGGGGGAAAAGCTCAGGTGTGCACCGCAGCGTCCAGGGAGACCGTGGCCGGGAGAGGCCTCCTGCCAGGATTGTGGTCCCAGTCAAAGTGAGTTGAAACTGTGCACTGCAAGGATTAGGATCAGGCAGCTTTAAAGGCTTAACATCGATATAAACGTCACAGAGAAAGCAAAGGGAGATGGTACAGGCCATGAGCACATTTCCAAGCTCTGGATTAATGCACTAATTTTATTAAGCCAACTCAAAAGTCACACAGTACGCAAGATTCATTTTTACGAGATGTAGTGGTGGCCACCAATTTGGATGGCTTTAGAGGGCAGCAGCCACTGGTCCCATCCGGACCACCCATGCGCCACCCAGGACCAGAGGCTGTGCTCCTGCACATGCCAGCCGCAAGGGCACGTGGCTGCCGCTGCCACAGCTCGCCTGTCTGGCCCGGCTGCTTCCCGCGGGCAGCTGGTCGGCCACCGTGTGCCCAGAAGCCTGGAGCAGAGGGACCGTGCCGAGGTCCAGCCTCGCCTCTGCTCAGATCTTCTCCCGGCTCTGGTCGTGCCGTACAGCAGGAATAAAGGCGAGCCGGGCCGGAAGCCCTTGTGCCACAGGGACACGTAAAAGGGTGGACAGGGAGGAGGGGAAAAAAAAGGCATTCAGGAAAATGTTATAAACATTTTTAATTTTTATTAGAAAGCATTTCCAGAAAACAGACAAAATAATCTGGATCATTTATTTATACTTTTAATAAAAACCTTTACATAATTTCATGCGTAACCACTTTGTTGACACCCCCAATGCACACGCGGCGCCCCAGAAGTCCAGGAGTGGCAAACGCCTTGCGGCGAGCCCAGGTGGAGGCGGCCAGCCACAGGGAGGCGCTCTCGCACGCCCACGGACGCCGGCCTCCTCCCCAGAGATGCAGGCCGGGGGGCGCGAGTGAGGGCGGCTTCCCTGCTGGCCAGCCCCCCGCCCAGACACGCCTTCGGGTATCGTGAAGCAACATGGCAAGCAGACCCAACGCCCGGCTCACCCCACGACTTCCAAGGATCGGCAGCATCACACACACGCGCAGAAGCTCCCGCCCCCACGAGGCCGCTGCCCGAGGAACACAAGCGGCCGGTTTCGGAAGCGGGGAGGCGGGGAAGGTTCAAAAGCGCCCTGGGCAGACACTTCCAGCCCCGCCAGCAAGCAGCCCCGGGAGCGCCGGTTCCACAGGACGACGTCTGGATTGTGACTTCGCTGCAGGACGTGCCCAGATCCTGCAACGGCGGTGCGCCCAGGCAAGGACGCCCAGGCGCAGTGCTCAGGGAACGCGGCTGGCCCTCCCTCCCTCCCTCCCAGGGGCCACCCGGCGTGGCCCGAATGTGACTCGCCCCAACGACGGGCCCGCGCCAGCCGCCCAGGCCAAGCCCTCCGTGGACCCCCACAAAGCTTCTCGCTCCCAGGGCAAGCCCCTGGCCCAGTGGCGCGTGAGTGGAGGCGACTGCGCTCGCATGGAGCCCCGTGGCCCCTCGAGATCTGGGAGACGCCGCATCCCGCCTGGTCTCCCGCCGGCCGTCAGTCAGGGCAACGCCGCCGGTCCTGCTGCGGCAGAAGGGCTTTATTGAGCTGGAGGCGCCTGCGGGGCCCCCGCCCGCTCGGGGGGCCAGGGCTCCACCCCGTGCGACACCCGGGGCCGGGGGGGCTTCTGCATTGCCCGAGGCAGCGCTGCAACGGGGGCTCCGTCGCCCCCAGAACCAGGGCCAGAGGGGTCGCAAGTGGCTCGGCGGGCCGGCGGGCCGGCCTCACTGCGCCACCACAGTCAGTTCACGCAGGTAGGATTGTGTGAGGCCACGGAGCTCCTCCAGCGCGTAGTCCTCAGGCATGGGGAGCCGGCCGATGTGGGGGGCCAGCAGGCGCAGCGGCACCCTCTGCGTGTCCAGGAAGCCCCCGGGCGCGGGCTCCGGCGGGTGCTGCAGCCTCAGCACGGCGCGCAGGATGTCTGCGTTGCGCTTCGCCATTTCTGGGGGAAGGAGAGCGGACGGGGCCGGCGTCAGCAACGCGGCTGCCGCCTGCACCCAGAAGCAAAGCCAGAGCCCCGAGGCAGCAAGAGCCGCGGCAAAGGGGAGCGACCGGAGGCCGCGAAGCACGTCGCGGGACCCCCACCGCCCCTCGGATGCCCCTGGCCGAGCGCCTCCCGGGCCGAGTTCGGGCCACACGTGCCCCAGCGGGGCCACTGCCGGTGAGGCCGCGAGCGCGATCCCAGGGAAGCCTCCTGGCCAGCGGAGGCCTGGTCTTCGCGTGGGGGAGGCCGGAGCCCCTGCCTTGCAGCCCCAGGCAGGGCTGGAAAACCTGGAGGGAGAGCCCTGGCTGCCACTGCTCCGGCAGCTCCCCATTCTCCTGGAAAAGCTGCTGCTCCTCGAGACCTGCAGGTCGGGGGGGGGGGGGGCACGGACCTGATCCACTGCTGGAGAGCTGCAAGCGGGCCATGGAGGCACTGCCAGAGCCCCCGCCGGGGGGAATTTGCAGGAGTGTCCCAGCTGTTCTGCCCCGAACATGGCCGAGGGACCCATGGAAGCTGGAGACACGAGCACGACCCCGAGAGGCTCCGAGCCGTGCCGCAGAAGCGAACAGCTGTGCAGGGAGCCACGCCACGCCACGCCCCGGCCTTACCGGACTGAGCCAGCCTGTCTTTGGCGCTGTGGCACTGGACCAGCTCTATCCTGCTGCAGAGCGAGATCACTTTGGCGTGCAGCTCCTCCAGCTCATACCCAGAGCAATCCAGCTGCAAGGCAATCCAGAGAGGAAACGCATCATGTGCCGGGCATGGAGGGCAGCCCCGCGGGGCGCGGAGAGGGGGGTCTGCGACCTGAGAGGGCTGGGGGTGCCCGCCCCGCCAGGGAGACCACTCAGGGACACCCATCTCAAGGCACACGGCTCTGTGGGATAGTACGAGCTGCTTCCAGGGGTTCCCATGCGCCCTGCAAGGCCACCCGAAGCGCCCACCAGCCTGGAGCGTCGTGTGGCTGCTGGTACGGGAACCGCGCGCCTGCAGGCCGCTGTGCCAGGCCGGCCCCAGGGGGCGCAGCCACTCCCACGAGGTGCCTTGTCTCCCCCCTCCGAGTGTCCGGGGCAGCCGGACGTCCGTGTCCAGCCCCTGCCTTGGCCTGTGCAGCGCTCGGAGCGCCCTGTCCGCGTGCGAGTCCGCACAGACGGAAGCCAAGGGCTGGCGGGCTCAGGCGTGGCCGCCCCTCTCGCCACCCACAGCTGGAGCCCCGCATTCCCTCAGACCTGGCCTTGGAAAGCCGGCGGCCCTGGGGACACGTCCCCCTGGGTCCCCCGTCCTCCTTCCCTGCAGGGGGAGCGTCTGACGGCAAGAGCACTCAAGCACATGCCCGGGGCAGCACACCCATTCTGGCCTAGTGCGCCTGTGCCCCCCGGCACCACCCCGTGGGCGCCCGCTGAGGCCTGCCTGTGGGGCGCGGGGGCCGCGGTGCCCTGGATGGTCCCACCTGCTGGATCCTGTGCAGCATCTCGATGACCTGGGTGTAGTCCAGGAAGACCAGCCCGGCCGTGTCCCAGTCCTGGATGAGGGTGCTGCGCTCAGGAGCGGCCAGGTCTTCCAAGAACCCCTTCAGGTAGGCGTACTTCTCGTTAATGATGCAATCTGCAAAGGAGAGGGTGGCATCGGGTGGCCTGAGCTGCGGCGCTCAGCTAGGAGAGTGAGGACTGCAGCGCCCCGCAATCAGAGGGCGACGGACACCCGTAATTCGAAGCCGGAGGAGTTAACCGCGGCCTGGGAAGGGATGCGCTGGCTTCCGACAGTCCCCAGCTCTCTCCTCTGGGCCATTCAGCATCCCTTCGGAGAGCACGCCGGGGGCCTCACCTGAGGCCAGGTGCCGGATCACCAGCCTGTGGCACTGGTTCCAGTGCCCGGCCTTGAACAGGTACAGGGCCTCCTTGTGCTTGTCCCCCTCCATCCGGGCCCTCGTGGCCTTGGCTTCATGAATCCACGCGGGCGGCACACACAGCTTCTCCGTGAGGAAGGCCTCCTCTTCCCAGGACTCCGGCGTCTCGGACAGTGTGCAGTGACGGCTCAGCAGTTCGCGCACCGCTCGCTCTCGCGTGCTGGTGGGAATGCACAGCGGAAAAGCGCTCCTTCAGTAGCTGCACTAAATATTGTCTTAACATGCACAATACGATTCAACCAGGCACACAGTTCAAATGCTGCCTTACTGGATCTTTCATTAAAAGATCTGGAAGTTCCTGGCGGAATCTGAAAGGAGGCTTCCAAAACACGACAGGCAGCACTCCTGGCTCTCTGCACATGGGGAAGAGCACAGCTGCATGGACAGCCCACCTCCAGCTGAGGATCTGAGCAGCACCAAGCCCAGCAAGGGACCCTGGCGGACCACCGCCATCCGCCTGGGCACGACAGAGAGGCGGCCAGACTCGTGCCGGCCTATCTCCCCCTCTGCTCCAAGTCCTTCTGCATGCGGGACCCCCGGCCCTGCTCACAGCTAACACGGAAAGGCCGCCCTGCGCCACACGCACGCAGTTTCTCCCGGTTTGCCCACTGCAGTCTAGCTGTAGAAGCTGGGCCTCTAATGCAGAACTTTCAGCAGCCGTTTACCGAAACGTCGGCCAAATAACGCCATGAAATGGGAGCTGAAGATGGCGGCTCCCAACCCAGAAGAGCCCTGCTGCCGCCGGGGGCAGCGGGAGCCAGAGGGGGAGCTGCGCCCTCGCACACAGGGGCCCCGCACTTACTGCGCGTCGGGCGTGTGCAGCAGCACGAAGACCGCCCATTCCCACAAGCCCTCGCTCTCGAGCTGGGCGGCGTAGCTGGCGCTCAGCACCCCCTGGCGCTGCTCCGACAGGTGCGTGTAATTCAGGGCGCGCAGCACTTCCCACAGGTGCCAGCTGAGCCGGTGGTCCAGGGGGTCGGCCGTGATGCTCCTGGGGTCAAGCAGCTGATGCAGGTCGTAGCACCTGCGGGGGACAAGAGGCCACGCCACACTGCGCCCGGCTCGCCTTTCCAATCGGCCCGAGCGCTGCTCGGGGGGCCGGCTGCACTGCGCGGCGCGACATATGCGCTGGGGTGCCCTCCCGCCGCCCTTCCTCGCCTCGCCTCGCCCCGCCACCTCGAGGGAGACTCGGGGGCAGCAACTGGCCGCTCGCTGCTCTAGCGGCACGGCTCGTTAGCACAGGCGGACACGGAGGAGCAGCGTGGCTGGACCAGCCGAGGCCAGAGGGAATCGAGTCCCCTTCCCCTGCAATGCGTGGGGCAGACGGAGGGACCGGGGCCCTGGGACACATGTCTCGCTCCCGCCCTCTCTCTGAAAGAGAGTATGAACACTTCCCCCTCCTCCCCGGGGAGCCCCCAAAGCGCAGAGGGAGCGCGCGGCTCTCCGTGGGCGGCCACCTTTTGTGTGCCACCTTTGTGGCGTAACCGGCGTGCGCAAGGGAGGGCAGCCTCCCGAGGGCAGCCAGCAGCAACACGGCCTTGCGGCACCTCGAAGAGGGGCAGATTAGTTACGGGGCCAGCTTTACGGACAACAGCCCGCTTCGCCAGAGGCTGCACCAAAGGAAGGAAGGCGTTACCGGTCACTGTAGAGCTTCAGCAGGTGAAAGCACACGTCCCGCAGCGGCTGCTGTGCGTCGCCTTCCTCGAGGACGCAGCCCGAGCCCTCTAGATACGGAGGCAGCGGCGGGCAGGCATACCTATCGCCCTCTACGGAATCCTGCGGAAGGCAAGGCAGACATGCAGCGGGCAGCGTGCGCCAGGAAGGCTCCTTCTCCGCGCTCTGCCTACAGCGGGGGGCTCCAGAGAGCCCTGGCCACGCGCGCACACAGCCTGGGGGGCGGAGGCCCCAGGGATCCTTCCCACCGGCAGCAACACCTTTCCACCTCCTGGGCGCTGCTCCTGGATTGTGTGACTGCATCTCATCGCCCCAACTTGGTGTCTCGCTTTCTGCAACCCTTGCAAAAGGGTTTTAACTCAGTTTGGCAGCGTGATCCAGAGGGTGGCAGGGCCGGTGGGGAGGGATCGAAGCTCCCCTGAAGGACCTGTGAGGCTGAATGCAGCCCGCGGACTTCTCTGGGGTGGGCGGAGGAGCCGGGGCAGGCGGCCAGTTCAGGGGGCCTGTCAGCAGGGCTCTCCTGTCCCGTGGCTGGAGCGCGAGGCCGGGCCGTGACCTCGCAGGCCGCAAGTGCGACACCCACCTGGAAGGCAGCTTCGTACATGCTGAGCGCCGCAGAAAGGGGGGCCGTGGAAGGAAGCAAATACCAGAGGTGGATGCCAATGCAGCGCTTCCAGTCCAGCTGGGAACAGACGTTGACAGTCCTCCTCTCCGACAAAGGCCACACCTGCCGGAGCGCAGCACAGGGCATGAGATGCACCGGCGGAGAAGGCCCGCTGGAAGGCAGCAGGGGCCTGGAAGGGGTCCGAGCCCACCCAGCCCTCGGGCTGCAAAAGCGCCCCCAAGAGCACGAAGGACGCACGCCAGGAGTGGCTCTCGGCCTGGTGATGGAGCACGCTCGGGTGACAGGGGCAGCCGCGCTGCGCCAACCGCGGCTGCGCAACCTACCGGCTTGCCTGCGAGGAGGGCAAATATGCGCAGCCTCTCCTCCTGGATGAAGGCGTCTGCCTGGAGCTGCTGCCAGTCTGTAAGCTGCAAAGCCAGCAGCTCCCTGACCTCCTGGCTCCCTGCCAGCTGGGAGAGGAGCAGAGCCAGCCTGTGATCCCCTGCAAGAGAAGAGGGCGCGTGCCAGGCTGTGGGGGAAGAGGCAGAGCCTGGCCTCCCAGAGCTGCCACAGCCCCTGCCCGCCGGGCTCTGGAGGGGTTTGCGCTGCTCAGGGAGTAGAAACGGAGGTGCCGCGGGGCCCCGAGGGGAGGCAATTCAACGCCTGTTCAGGGACAGCCCGAGCGGCATCACGGGGGACCGAGAGGGGGAGTCCGCAGGAAGGCCCGCTCCAGGAAATGCCAAATGCCTCTGACTGACGCAGCTGCCGCTCGTGCCTCCCTCCCCCCACGTTCGCACAGGGAGCCCGGCGGGGCCTGTCCAAAAGCAGATCTTGTCCGGGCAAGCTCCCTCGCCATTCAGGGAGCTGATGCAGCCGAACACCTGCCCCCCCGAGAACCCGTGCTGGAGGTGGGGAGCACCAACGTCTCCCACGTACCTGGCGGCGGCTCTGCTGAAGCACAGCAGGCACGTGTCCAGACCTCTCCGAGCAAGAGCGAAGTGCCTCCCTGGAAGCCGAGGCTTTCACCAGCTCCCCCAGGAGCAAAGTCACTGACTGCCTTCACTCCGCTGCCCCCACCACTCAGGCCGCTGCCCCGGGCCTTCATGTTGCTGCCCCGGGAGGCGCACCGGTCCCCGGGCGCATGAGAGGAGCCGACTCACCAGACTCCTGGGCCAGCCTGCAGGCTTCGCTGATCTGCTTCCCAGTGAGGCAGCTGAAGACGGCCTCTGCGGCACTGTCCTTCTGGCTCAGCGCCACCTCGTCCTGGATGCGCAGGGCGGCGGCCTGCGACAGCCAGCGGGAGAAGGCCCCCCGGCGCTGCAGAGCCACGATGTACTCGCTGGGCTCGTCCAGGCGGGCCTCCAGCTCCTTCAGGTGGCCCCAGAGTGCCTCGCCCAAGGTCCACACCAAGCACCAGTCCTTCACGACCGCTGCAAAGAGAGCGCGGGCGACCGGCTCAGCGTGCTCCCAGGCCCGCGGCACTCTGCCCGGGGAGGCCGCCGGAGCAGCTGCAGGGTTTCCAGCCTCGCTTTGCCCCCGATCCCGCCCACGCTGCTGCAGCTTTTCCGGAGCAGCTCTGCTCCCTGGCCGCCCTTCTGCAGGGCACCTGTGCCCCGCCCCGCCTGCCCCGTTCTGGCCTGGATCATACAGTCATCTCTGGAAGGGAGGCAAGGACTGGGTGGCACCTGGTCTTGGGGTCGGGCAGGTGGCCTTTGGCCTTTCAGATCTGACGGAATGATGTTGCTGCCCACAGCATGTTCCAGGCAGACGCCTCGGCCCTCTTCTGAGCACGTCTGCCTGCCCTCCGTCTGCTCTGTGGCCGTGTGTCCACAGAAGCTCCTCGGCAGGGCGGCCTGCCGTCTGGGCCAGCGCAGGGGAGGGGAGGGACGGCACTCTTGTGGTCGCTCGCTGGACAGCTTGCTGTGGGCTTGCTCTGTGCAGAGCTGTCCTTCCCACAGGGGCGGAATGAGCTGCAGTGTTGTGCAAACCGGCGAGACCACGGGCAATCCCAGGCTTGTCTAACCCTTGCATAACCCACGTCCACGGCTTTGCACAATGTAACAACTCCTAAGTGAGGGCTGCATGTTCAAAATGCCCCAAAGCCTCATGGTGGATTAAATAGCCCATGTGGGGCGGTTGTATCAACACCCCATAGAGGCGATGCTCAGTCTGCATGCCTGCCCCCCCCGCCCCACTGGACAAATGATCAGGCGCCCTGATCCGACGTCCCGGTCGCGCTCACCTTCCACTTCTTCCGGGCCGCCACAGGTCTCAGTCGCCCACCTCGCATATTCGTGGATAGCTGCCACACCGGGGCAGGGGGTCAGGAGTGGGCAGGGCTCATCCAGGTGGACAGTGCTGTGCTTGAGCTTGATCTCGAGGGGTGGGAGGAAGGCCTGCAGGCGCCTGCCCGCAGCTCTCCTTTCCAAACTCAGCTTCTCCACGTGGACCTTAAAGGGAGACTCGGAGAGCCTGCGAGGGCAGCAGAAAAACCAGCGTGGAGGAGCAGCGGCTGCCCCCTCTGCAGCCCCCGTGTCGCTCTACAGAAGGAGGGCGGCAGGAGGGCAAACCTGAAACGTCCCTGCCTTCTATCAGAAGCCCCCTGCTTCCAGAGGGCACGGCCAACTCTTCCTCCTCCGCAATGCGGGCAATTGCAGCCTGGAGAAACCGGCATGCAGGCGCAGTCCTGGGAAGCCCCTGCAGGGCAGGGCAGGGGCAACGCTGGCGTTGTGCCTTTCCTCTCACAGGTCCCCAATGGCTCCTGTGAACGGACACTGCTCAGAACAGGGTGCCACGTCAGCCTTTGGGGAAGCCAGTGCTGCGTCGGAGGAGGCTCTCCTCAGAATGGAGAAGTCTGGGTGCTCTCCTCCAGTCCAGCTCAGCTCGGCACGGCCCAGAAACCACACAACAGGCCGGGGAAGGGTCCTGTGAATCCCCTCGCAGCTCCAGTGGGAGCCCCCCAAATCTAAGCCCACCTCTGCCGCAAGGGCCGCCCAGGAGTGCCGAGGTGGGTGCTTTCTGCAAGCTCCCATTCCGATTCTGTGCAAAGGAAGCATCCCGCATGGGTTCTGCCCCCGAGGCCAGGTGAGGAAGAGGAAGCCTCGGTGCTGGATGCTGAGGCTCCTTCCTCTCACTTGGGCAGGGTGGCCAGAGCGAGCCATCCATACAGAAAGCCGGAACAGAAGGATGGAGGAGAGGAAGGGAAAACGCCCTCCACCGATGCTGCCACACTCCGCCACACTCGGCTCAGAGGGTGCCGTGCGGCTGCTTCCCGCGCACTGAACCGCAACACAAGCGCAGGCGCCGCACTCAAGTGCAAAGGGGCATCTGTCATGGGAGGCACAGAAGCGGCCGTTCCGCAGGGCAGGCCTTAAGGTAGGCTGGCCTCAGGCAGGAGGCAGCACCCCGGGAACCCCAGGGCAGAGGGGGCCTGGGCAGAGCTGCATTTGCCCACCCCAGAAAGCCTGCTGAGCAGGCTGCCCTCCAAAGACCTCTGCTTCAAAAGGCATTTGTAGAAGAGAGAGGAAAATTTATTATAGCAAGCGGCTTGAACAAGGACCGAGCCTACAAAAGCGAGCCCTGCCAAAGGCGGCTGAGGCGAGGGAACCACCGGATGCCTGGACCGAGGCGAGGCAGGACCCGGCCCTGGAGAGCCACAGAGGCCAGGACCACGGCGAGGCGGCCTGGGCATGCGGCCCTTGCCTTCCCATGCTGCGGGAGGGGCTCGCCCGTGGCGGACGTTCGCCCTGCACCAGAGGAAAAGCGGGAAAGCCGTCCTCGCCTCAGCCGGGGTCCCTCCACGCGTGGCGGCACAGAAGCATCTGCGAGGCGAGGCGGGGCCAGGGAGCGTGACTCACTGCTTTGGGGCAACGGGCGTGGGCAGGAAGCCGTACTCCATGGACTCGTCCTGGGGCTCCTCCGGCTCAGGTGGGCTGCTCAGCTGCTCCCCGCTGTGAACAAGGACCCAGCTGGGGCCCCAGCCGACGCGGAACGACCGGCCCATGAAGAGTGCCATGTCCTTCAGCAGCCGTCCTTTCCCGCAGGTGACGGATTTCTCCAGGGGCACCAGGCCAAGGTGCCTGCGGATGCCCACCGTTTTCAGGGGCACGTCAGGTGCTGGGCTCGGCACTGTGAGCACGGATGCCAGCGAAGGGATGGCGGACCACGGCGGGGCCGGCACTGCGGCACCTAGAGAGGAAGTCCTGGGACTGCAGCTGCCCTGGAGGGCAGCGCTCGGAAGGAGCAACGATCCACTGGGGAGTCTTGATGGCAGCAACCCCGCAGCTGAGAGCAGAAGAGAAAGGGAGGCCGTGGCTAGGAGGATGGGCTTCTAGGGGTCCCACTCAAGGCGGAAACCCAGCAACATTCGGGGATGGTGGTGGGTCAGGGCAGCCGCCCATCTCCAGGAAGGAGGCTGGCCGGCCGGCCCCGGATTACAAGCCACTGGGGTACAGCCCCTCCTCACCTGCCGCCACACGGCGTGCAGGCCGCTCCTGCCGGGGCAAGAGAGCGGCCCCGCAGGGCTGCCAGGGGGCTGCAGAGCAGCCCCTTCACTGGGGTTTCGGCGTGGCTTCCTAACAAAATACAGGACTCGCGAGGGGAGAGTAAATCCTCGCACCCCACGTCTTGAGCCAGGACCGCTTGCAGCTCTGTTTGCCCTCGGCAGCTTGCTTTGGGCAGCGGGCAAGGGAATCAGAGCACAAAGCCCCCGTCTGGAGCTTCTCTGAAGCAGCATCCAGCGCTGGGACCCGCTGCAGACATCCCTGGGAAACGGGCCATCTGAGACTTCCCAGTTTTGGATGCACAAAAGTGCCAAATTGGGTACTGCTGCAAATCCGCTCAGAAACAGTAATACAGGTTCTGAAGATATTTCTGGTCATTGTGAGAACAAAAGCACAATTAAAACTAGTCTGCCCACGGCTGACGACCCCTCCGCTGCACCGCTGAGGCACTCTGGAAGGGCTGCCACGCTGGGGGCTGCAGAAACTGGCCGCAAAGCCAGATAGGGTCGTCTCCAGGGAAAAGGTTAAGGGGAGGACAAGGACCGCCGAGCGCAAAGACAGCTCCCCATCAGAGCAGGGGACACCCAGCAGCGGCCGCTCCGGCATCGCCCAGGTGAGCCTGGCCAGAGCGCGAAGGGGTTTGGCCCGAGGGCCTGGTGTGCGGTTTCCTGGTACCCACAAGGGATAACGGAACCACCCACTGCCGGTAGCCGTGGGTTGTCAGCGTGGCCTGCTGCCCAGGAAATGCTCTGGATTTGCATAATACAGTAACCCGCTGTCCCCTGGCACTCACAATGACTCGTTGTGCCCTGTGAACCAAGCCTGCGACACACTGCTTAGTCCTTTTCTTCCCTGCTGCATTTGTGAATGTAGCTTATTGTTTTACAGCTGATTTTCCAGTTAACTACTTAGTAGGCGGCCAAGAGCCGTTCCGGGAGGCTGCTGCGGGACATGCGAGTGGGACGGCTCTGCTGGTTTTTCCTCCCCCCAACGTTCCGTCCCCCGTGTGCGCGTTGTCGTGCGCGTCGGCAAGCCTGGAGGCAGGAACCGCAGTCTTTCACTTGATTATAGGCCAACTGTTTGGGGAGCCCTTTTTGGCTGAGGCGATGAATACAAACACGCCAAACAAGGAAGTGGCCAGGTTAGCCTCCGATTAGTAGAGCCGGACGCGTGGCGCTTTCCCCAGCATCTGCAGGAGCGCCAGGACTCTCACTGTACCTGACGGACGGCTTTTCCGTCCTTGTGTCAAGGCGGAGATTGGAAGCCGTGGAGAGCAGATCTCCTGAGAAGCATCCGCTGCTGCCGCTTGCTTGCCAAAGCGGCGATCGAGGATCAGGTCCAAATCCTCCTCGTCCACCAGCAAGGAGGCCTTCATGATCTGGAACGAGCACACAGCAAGTTCGCCTCAGGCCGTATTCTTCCGACCTCAAGCAGCAGGCGCCTCGGTGAAAGGGCCTGAGTCGGCGGCCACCTTCCGTTCGTGGCACGCTCGGGCCTGGCCCGCACGTGGCGGCCCACCAGGGCCTCGCGGACCAGCCGAGGCTCTCGCGTCACGCGGCGTGTGCCCTGGGGGCCTGGCTTGCTGGGGTCTTGGACAACCGTGAAACAGCCCATTCGTTTCAGGCCTCAGACAAGCCCTGTCCCCAGGATCGGCACAGCGTGGCTGGCTGGGCACCACGCAGAAAGGGCGCCCGCGCACTCCCGGCAGGACAGGGCAGCTCTTGCGGCTGCCAAGTCATGTGAACCAGCTCACAGAGCTTTCTTATTTTCTTTATTTATAACTGTTCTCCAGCTTACACAAAATCCTCACCAAAGATGACTGGCATTACAAAACAAGATTAAGAATGGCAGTTCAAAGCTTCACAAAACCAACCGACTCAGAATTAAAAGGCTTGGAGGAGTGCTAAGGTCTTTGAGGCCCCACATGTACTGGTCTGGGCACCAGGGAAGCCGGGGGGAGCATGTTCTGTGCCACAAGCTGGGTGCCCCCGCTCTGGAGGCTCTCCCAACCGCCCCCCAGCCAACGCCAGAGCAGGAGGCCTCTGCACCAACAGGACACGCCATCCGCTTCCCCAAACGCAACACTCAGAGCGCGTGCCCCCCTCCAGAACGGTCCGCCGGCCTCAGGAGGCAAGCGCAAAGCAAGGGGGCCTGCTCCTCAGGATGGCAAGCTGCCGCCAGGCGGGCGAGTCACCTGCAGCGTGTGGGGGTTGATGTCCAGCGCAGAGGCGATGTGGGTGGAGGCGGCCATGGGCTCCTGCTCCTCCGCCAGGGTCTCTTCCGCGGCAAAGTCCTGCGCCGGCTCCTGCGTGACGTCTGCCATGTTGCTGTCCAGCTCCACAACCCTCCCCAGCGGTTCCACATCGGAGCTCTGCAGGCACCACGAGACAGGATTTCTGCGCTGGCCTGACGCTCTGCAGCAGGAGCGGCCGGCCCCCGACAGACCCCACGCCTCCCGCCTCCCGCAGGCAGCCACCCTGGGTTCCGCCCCCCGTCTCCCCCCACCGAGCTGCTGCGTGGGGCTGGCACCAGGACCACCGCTGCATGCAGTGCCGCAGCGAGCGGTGCAGTGCCAGCACCGTAACGCTCCTTCCCACGGACCGACTTTCAAGGCGCTGCGCCAGGCAAGGAGGGGGAGGCGGCTGGGCAGAGCCAGAAACACGCGGGCGGCCACCAGTGGCATTCCCCTCGGAGCACAGTGCCAGGCAGAGCACGGGCGCCCACCAGCTCCTCCGGAAGCGAAGGACAAGGGGACGCATCTGGGTGGCTGTGCGGCTCTTCTGATGCTCCCGGAAGCCTTCAAGCACATGCCCACTCAGCTCCTTCCTTCCCCCTTCCCCAAACGCTCGCATCCTCCCTAAAGGTATCCGTATTAGAAAAGGTGACATTTCTAACAAAGCCCGGGGTCCGCTTGGACGGACCGCCTCATCCTCTGTCTCTGCGCTTGTGCTGTGCTGTGAATGGGCTGCGTGCAAAAGCATCGGACCTTTTTAAAGCTCATCTCACAAGAAGGTCCAATTCTACCCCGTGTTTTCAAGGAGAGAGAGCAAGCGAGCGCACAGTGGGCTCCCTCCGACCATCTAAATCCCCGAGGCCAGGGATGGCCGAGCCGCTCTGGCCACGTGGGGGCCGCCTGTGGCACACGTGGCCCGTTCACGAGGCACCGCTCAGGCATTCCTGCCCTGGGCGTTGGCTCTGAATGCAGCACAGCAGCTTCAGCCTGCAGGAGCCACGTCTGGGGCCAATGCAGGGATCCTGCATGTATGGGTCAGAGGCGCCCGCCCGAGCTTTCCCGGGCAGGTAAGGCATGCTGCGGCAGCCGGCCCTGGCTGGGAGCTTCTCCTCCTGGCTGCTGCCTGGCCTGGAAAAGGGCCTCTTCCCGCGGGCGGCACCCACAAGGACAGCTCAAGGCATGCCTGCTCTCACGGTTGTCAGGCCTGGCCAACGTCCCAGCCAGAGAGCGACGCACTTCAACCTTCCCTTTACGAAGGCTCCAGAGTATCTTATTTTCTCACCTTGGAAGACGGTGCTGGTTTTCCACTTAGAGCCATTTGCTGAGCCACCAGCTGGCCTGGAGGGGGCACCTGGGCAGTTTTTAATTTCTTTGCCTCTACTTTTGATGAGTGTTCCTCCTCTTCCTCATCAGAGTCTTGCAAGCCATACTTTGAGAAGTGAGCCACCTGGACAGGAGCAAAAGCCAATGCCAATTGCAACTGACAAAAACACTTTGTGGATGTAATTAAGGCGAGCCCTGCCCATCCAGCTACGATGGCAGACCGTCTCCAAAGATGCGCCTCGTGCCTGGGGAAGCCCGTGTGTCGTCTAGCCAGTAAAAAGCACACCCTCTCAGGAGTTCTGAAGCTGCTTCCCTTAGCTGCTTTGGAGGGCGCTTTCAAACCTTACAAGCCACAAAGGAAAGGACTCATCCGATACATTCAGAAATGCGGGGCTTACCTTGAACACCCACGATCCCGTTTCGGGGCGATACTCCTTGAACTGGGCCCCCTGCTTCCGAGAGACCGCCTCCAGCCTGCCCTCGTAGTTCATCTCTGCCAGCCGTTCCGGGCTCTTTATCAAGCAACGCGAGGTTTTGTCTGTGGGCCAAACGCCATCCAAGGTAACTTCGGCGCGCCTGCGAAAGAGCCAAGGTCGGGGACCTGAAACAAACACTCCTGCAGGCAGCTCAGAGGCAGCCACTGCCTTCGCTGGGGCGGAGAAGGCATCCAGCGCCCGCAGAGGAAGGGGGCTGCATTACCGATTTAAGCCTTCGCCAACGGGTGGCTTCAGCTCGTCGTCTGGGTAGACGATGACTTCTTTCCGGCGGATGTGCACGATCTCGTCCAGGTTCAGGCTAGTCAGGTTGACTTCGCCTTCAAAGTAGATGGAGCCGTAGCCTAGAGAGAGGATGGCGACACCCGCAGGGTCAGCCCCGGCTGCAGGGCCGCTGCACCCAAGGCCGTGGACACTCCCTGGCCGGTCCCCCCAGCCACCCCACACGCCTGAGGAACGTGAAGCCAAGCGCACGTGAATGGCCGCGCCCGCTGGGTCACCGCCCTGCAGCTCCCCGAAGGCTTGTGGGGCTGCACGCAGAAATCCAGCCCATTAAAAACATGTGTTGGGCGTCCCGTTAACAAAGCATCCCTTGGGTGCTTCATTCTCCCCCCCCCCCGAGACTTTCAAGAGGCGTCTACAGTGCATGCGGGTTTGTCACCCAAAAAGTAAATAAAAGGTGTTCGATGAAAAGGGGCGCCCACTGGAGGAGCCTTCCAGGGACGATCCTGCGGGATGTGCCCAAACCAGCCGGAGGACCGAGCGGGTGGCAAGGGAAGCGCACACATGGCGAGCCTGGTCACCTGCCAGGGGCACTGCGGGCAGCCCAGGGAGCGACCGGCCCCCGTGGCTCCCCTGCAGGATGGCCCTTTGCGGTGTGCAAACTCGCCCTATGGCTGTGGCACGGACAGCTTTCGGGGAATATTCGTGCTTCGTATGATGAGAGCTGCCCCAGATTAGTCTTGAAAGGGAGCATGCAAACGTTGAAATAATACAATGCACCCTAAGAACGTGAGAACAACTGTCTTTTCCTGTCAAAACGGAAATGAAACTGAGGGATCTTTCCCACAGCAAAATTATGGAGGACAGGAATCTTGACCTCTGTCTTGAGGAGAAAGGAGGAAAGCTTTCTGTGGCTTAGGAAGCTGAGACAGAGAGCAGGAATGAACGAATGTGTGCGTAAGCAAACTTGGATGAAAACACCACGCAGAAGAGAAAAATGAAGGTGTGGTGGAAAGCAGCGGTGGGCTTCTGGCCGCTGTGCCACTTGTCAAAACCCCGTGTAAAGCCACCATGCCCCCGGCTGAAAATGACGGCGTGAATGCGGCTCCACGCTCCAGAGCCAGCCAGTGGGCCAGTGCTCGGGCGCTGTGTGGCAGACGGGCTCAACCCCTTCAAACAGGAAATTACTTAACCTGCATGAAAAAGGGAACTTCTCAGGCTGTTTGGAAAGAAGGCAACCGAGAAGGCCTCCACGCAGAGATGCGTCCTCACCTTTGCGGCCAATGGTGAAGTCTGTCACAATACACTCTCCTTTGTCGTTTGTCATTTTGGCCAGCTCGTCCATGGATGGAATAGTGTAGTATCCAACTCGTACCAGAACAATTCCTGAAAGAAACACAGCCTGGATGAAGGCCACGCCTTTCAGCAACGCCCAAAACAAATGCAGTGATTTGATGAGAACAAAAACTATCCAACAACTAACCACAAAGAACGGACATTACCATTTCAACATTTTCACAACAGGTGTGAAAAGGAAAAGGGCAGCCTTGGCTACCACAAGCCTGGCAAAGCCCCTAAGAAAAGATCGGCTCCCGAGCAAGATTTGCTCACAGGGCCAATTCAGCTCTGCCCAAACACGCCTGTCCGCATTCCAGGAAGTGCCTCGGCACAAGCGATACCTCCGGCCCTATTTGGCCGCCATGAGGCGATCCGGGCAGGCAGGTTTCGAGGGCAGGTGCTCTGTTGCAGAGCCTCCTCGGCCTTCTGAAGCAGTTCAGGCAACGCACTGGGACCTTTTGCGAGCCGAGCAGGGGCCACACTGGCCCAGCTGCCTGTCTCGAGGGCCAGCTCAATGCTGGGAAGCCCCGCGAACCCTGACGAGGAGGCGCTCGCTCAGGGAGAGGCCGCCTGGGTCAGGCCGGGCGTCAGGCAGCTCGAGCGGGGAAGTGGCCCTCGCCAGGGGGCCGCAGGGCTGGCTTTCCCGGCAGGGCCCCCCCGCGGGCAGTGCGGGCGTCACCTGCTGGATGCGCAGAATGCCTGTGCTCCACCTCCTCCTCGTGCTCATCCTGCAGGGACTCCTCGCGGTAGGAGGCCTCCTCACGGCTGCCTTCCAGCCCGTTCCGCAGCGCAGGCCGCACGTTCAGGGCCAGGATGGTGTCGTCCGCGCCGCCGTGCGCCTTGTACGTGGTGCTGTCCGGCGTCTGGGGAAGTGGCTTGCCAAGGGGGCTGGCGAAGAACCGGGATGCTTCCCGGGGGGGGCCCTCTTCCTCCTCCAGCTCTCCCTCCTGCCTGTGGTTCTCGTCGATGGACCTGGAGAGGAAGTTGAACCTGAGGAAAAAGCCACACCATGAAGGCGACACGCTTCGCCTGCGCCCGGACACCCGGATCGGCACCATCGATTTCCATGGCCTGTGGGCGGCGTGTCCCCAGGAGGCAAGCTCTAAGCACCTGATGAGGCCTGGACTCCAAAGGACAGGCCTGCATCCAGGGCAGCCTTCTCTAGGCAGGTGCCTTCCCGGCATTTTCGGACTTCGACTGGCTCACAGAGCCAATGGTCCGGAATTCTGGGGGTTGCAGTCCAAAATATCTGAAGGGCAAGAGGCTGGAGGAGGCCAGTGCAGGTAATTCTGCAACAAGCTATTTAATATGGCAGGACCAAGACACTTCGCAAGATACAATGGGCCCAACTGAAAAGCTTCTTGACCCAACGGTACTACCATGGTTGAAACCATATGAAGAAGGGAGCCGAACCTGATTACACTAGCCATTTAATAAATTCTCGCACAAGTGGTGCTGCCTAGGTCAGATATTTGTGAATTCTGCTCAACTGCAAAACAAAGCACACCTCCAAATTGCAAAGCTGAGACAGGACCTCTTGTGCGGAGCTGAGGACAGGCAGAGCAGCCAGAGCCTGGCAGGCCTGAGGGGGAGGGGGAGGCTGAACCCACCCCGGCAGCTGCCTCAGAACCACCCAGCTGTCGTTAAGCATCGTCGCCGCGGTTCCAGCGCACCATGACGGATGGGGCCACTCAGAGGCCTAAAGCACGCGGATGCCCTCAACGTGATGCAGCAAATTTTGAGGGGAGCCCCTCCTACCGGGGGCCCCCTTTCCATGCCCCTAAGCAAGAGCCACAAAGAAGTGTTCAAAGGGGCACAGGCCGCCGCTGCCAGGCCGAGAGGGGCCGGCGCGCTGGAAGGCACCCAGGCAGGCCACATGCGGGCCACAGGCAGCTCCCTGGCACCTGGGAAGAGACTGGAGGCCACCAGGATGGGTCGCCGGCAAAGGCGAGGCCGGCTGCCTCCCGCGGGGCCTTGCACCCCTTCCTGCCGCACACCCCCGGCCACGGGCCACGGCGTGGCAACTTTGCCGCTGCAGGAGGCAGGCGTGGCAAACGCACGAGATTGGACTGTAGCTGGAGCGGCCCGTCCAGATCAGCCGGCCGATGCCTGGGGCAGGCGTGCCCGGGGCCGGCGTGCACATACCGTTCCCCGCTCTCTGGATACTCGGAGGGGGAGGCGAGCTCATCGACTTCGCCGCTGGCAGGAGAGAAGAGGCTGCTGCTGTTGAGGTTCTTCAGCACCAACTTCTTAATGTTCTTCCTGCATGGGACACCAAGGCCACAAACGTGAGTCGGTGGGGTGGACCTGTGGCCCGAGCTGTGCAGCGGATGGGGGTGGGCCAGGTGCCTTCTCTTGGGGGGCGTGGCCCACACCTGGGCCATGCCTCAGCCCAAGCAGGGGGGACCCACACCCCTTCTTTTTAAAGCTGGCTTTTGGCAAAAGACCACCTCCTCTGGTGGCCAGTGGAAGCATCAAAGCCAATCCTCTATTTCCTGTTGTCTTATTTTATACTTGTTTCAAAATATGTAAAGACAGCAAAAGTACTAGAGGCTTGGACTGGTTCTCCCTAGGATATTGGGAGTGGTAGTTCTGTGAGAAGGGGGTGAGGAATCACAAACAGGCTTCTCAGGGGTTCACCAAGCTGCAGTTCCCAGGATATTTGGGGTGGGGGGAGGAGAGAAATCTGTAGGCGAGGGAGGGAGGGAGCCGTGGGAGCACCACCCGCCCTGCTCCTTAGAATGCAGCATTGAACAAACCCATCTGTGCTTTGGAAATTAACCACCACTGCCGTCTACGGCCCCGCTCCACACCTGCACGCAGCGGGACTGCCTGCTCTCAGAGACATGTGCGTGGAGAAGGCCCCCTCAAAGCCGGAGAGGACACTTCCGGAGAGGCCACGGAGCCGCTGAGCTGGCTCTTCCTTCTGAAGAGCAAGCGGGCACTACAAATGCCCCTGAGCGCGGCGGCAAGCACGAGCGGCATTCGGCAAGAGCTGGCTGCTCTACATTAAAGCCAGCTCAAGGCTGCTGTGACACACGCCAGGTCCGCACGCCCCCCAGTACGTCCCACACAAAATCGTAAAGACCAAGCACTAACTTGGGCATGAAGGCCCCGTTCGACAGGGCCGGCTCGTCGTCATCCAGGCCGTCGAAGAGGTGGGACTTGGAGGAGCCCGTCGTCTGCAGGGCTTTCGGCCGCACCCGGGTGGCGGGGCGAGGGGTCAGCTTGTAGTGGGTGGGCGTAGTCAGGGCCTTCTGGGCGGCTGGGTTGGTTGGCTTCAGTCTCTGCAAGAGGAGGAAAGCTGCTGCTGACCCAGGCGGCGCGCCACAGCCCGTCCTTCGGCGCCCCTCGGACCCGAAGCGGCTTGCAAGTGGCTCTGGCGGCAGTCACCACGGCATAGGCCCCCGCGACCCCTGCCAGGGGGCAGGGGCAGCCTTCCCCCGGGCGTCTCAGCCCCTGGGATTTGGAGAGGCTTCCGGTGCAGTTTCCACAATCGGGAGCCCCTGGCAGACCCCTCCCGCCCTCTTGGCATCTGTCCAATCCCCCTTTCAAGCCATCTAAGCCAGTGGCCACCACCGCTCCCTTCGGCACCAAACTCTTGTTAGTTATGCCTCGTGCCTCTTCTGAATGCCTTGCGAGATGCTTCGCTCCGTGACCCGAGCAAGCAGGTCTCTCTGCAGCCTGCCTTTCATTTCTAGGGGACTAGAAACACGGTCCTGTGGCCAAAGCTAACAGGTTACAAAACAGCATGAATCAAAGCTCTGCTCCTTGAGAAGCGGGAGATGAGCGGAATTCAAACTGAGACATGCCTTCCTTCCCTCCCTTTCAGAAAGACTCAGACTCCACCCTTGCGGGAGCTCTTCCTAATTAACATCGGGCACTTCATAATTGGCCCACGCACTTTGCCTTTGACTCCTTATAGAGACAAAGACCCCCCCCACCCCGTTCTGAAATGTCCCTTTCCAAGGCGGGCTGGTTCGCGTGCTCCAAGAATCTTTGCCCCGCATAGAACCTTGAAGGGGCAGCCTCGTCTGCTCCCCTCGGCCGCTGCCTCTGGCAGATCCACCTGAGCAGGCTGGCGTGGGCAAGAGCTGGGCCCATCTCTTCGGAAGAAGAGGAAAGCGGCCTCTGCCCCCTTCTGGCTTCACATCAGCCTTGGTCTTGCCAATCTTTCCGCCCCATTCCCCGCTGACCATTTTGATCCCTGTCCCCCCAGCACACACTCACTCACCTCCTCCTTCTTCTTTGGGTCAGACATGGGGTTTCTGAAGAGAGGCGAATCCCCGAAGGGGGCGTACGTCAAGCTGTTGAGGTGCTGCTGCAGGATGGCCTGCTGAGCCGCGGAAGCATTTGGGTCTGTCAAAGCTGGACGTGGAGGGGAGAGGTCAGCCCGGGGCAGCACAAGAAAGGCGAGCAGAAGGCAGCTTGGGGCGCTCCGGATATTCTGGTCTGCAGCTCCCCCGCTAACAGCTGCGCTGACCAGCACGGACGGGCAAGAGCAACCCAAAGCAAGTTCCTTCGGGGATGCGCCACGCTCAGCCCGTCACGGTTCTAGGCCTCCGACCTGATGCGGTCGCCGAGGCACGTGCTCTCTCCCAGTCAGCAGCTGAGCTGCCACCACCAGCAGAGCTGGTCTGGAACATGAGCTTTTCTCTCGACTACGAAGAGGAAATAGTTTCACCCCAAATCCACCAAAGACCTTCTGATTCTTTTAGGCAGTTCTTATGGGATCCACCTACGTGCTGCGGCATTGACTTGCATATATCCCCACTCAGGTCGCTCTCCCGGGGCACTGCTGTTCCCGGTGGGTCTGAATTCTCGCCTGCACACCTGAGCCGAATGGCAGAAGCTGCCTCGGGAGATCGGTCTGACTCCTCTTAGCCAAGTCTCGGCAGAAAGGGGGAGCCAGCCCTTTGGCTACGCCCCACGCCCTGGCCCCCCAGAGCAGCTGCAGGCACTCTAGCCTGGCACTGCTACGGAATCCAGAGAGAAACAAGCCCACTGCAATGGACGGATGTAGCAGGATACGGCAGGGCCAATCGCGCTGCTCCCTGCCCTTCAGTGTGTCAGAGGAAACCAAGGCACCACAAGGCAACCCTCACGCACAACTTCCGGGTCGCCCTCTTGCCCGCTGGAGGTCCTGCCTTCCCAGCAAGAGACTGCAGGGGCTGCGCTGTCTGTGCTGCCAGCAGAAGCCTGGCCAGGCTGGGGGCAGGACCAAAGCCTGTGCTGTGCCCCCTTTCCCTTTTGCCAGGCGCGCAGAGTGACTCCGACTGGGCGCGCTCTCGTGCGGCATCTTGCCCAGCGACAGGATCACACCCCTTTGAGTGCAGACAATCTACGGGCAGACTACGCACTTACCCACAGCTGGCTGTGGCGCTCCAAAGCCCAGGGAGGCTGCTGAGGTATTAAATCCGGAGGCTCCAAATGCTCCCGTCCCCAGTGTGCTTCCCAATTTAGGCTGGGTATTCCCAAACAGGGAGGTCTGTCCCGCACTAAGGACTACAGGAGAAGGGGAGAGAAACGAAAGAGTTAGTGGAAAGCCATTGTGCACAAGCAGCAGCAGCAAGCCAAGCGCTCGGAGAAGGACGCTGTCGTTCTCCGTGTTCCTGGGAAAAGGTCTCCCATCTGCTGCTTCCTCATTTGCCAAGTAGTGCTTTGCAAGAGAAGTAACACCGATTTATTTATTTATTTAAAACATTTTTATCCCGTCTATACCTGAACTGGATTTCTAGATGGCTTACAGAATGACAGAAACCGTAACAGTGCTCGAATAAAACATAGTCTCCAAAATATAAAAACACACAGTAAAGAGCCAATGAACTGTCAAAATACTGGGTGAATAAAAATGGTTTTGGCCTGGTGCTGGAATGAGTACAGGACTGGGCCAGGTGCACCTCTTTGAGAAGAAGGGTCAGGAGCTGAGGCACCACAAACAAGCCCCTTCCCCAGTAGCCACTCTCCCAGCCTCTTTCCAAGGAGGCTCCCAGAGAAGGAACTCAGCAGAAGATCCCAAAGTTTGGACAGCTGCATGCGGAAGGAGGCATTCCTTCAGATATCCAGGCCCGACGATCATTTACCGCTTTATATGTCAACGTTAACACCGTAAATTGGGCCTGGACTTCAACTGGTAACCCGTGGAGATGATCTAGGACTGTTATCCCAGGACATGCTGAGACAGCCCCATGGCTGTCAAGGAGACCATGCAGTTCTGAGCCGCCCCGGACAGAACAGTCTCGGAGAGGAAGTTAAAATCCCCCAGAACCACCGTTCCGGAGGCTTTCAACCTCATCTGAGACGACCTCCGTCAGCTCCGGCAGGGAGTCAGTTGGGCAGCAGGGTGGGTGGTACACCCACGGAAGCCCCAGTATGCTTTGATCACCCTGCACAAGGTGCAAACACTGCAGACCTGTCTGCAAGTGGGCAGGAAACCTAGAGAGAGAATGGTTTCTTCTCAAAGATTTCATTCTGAGAGCACATTCTGACAGGCACATGAAACACGTCTGTCTCTCAGCCACGGAGGCAAATATTAGCTGTGGCTGCACGCCACCGCTGTCCTCACACAAAGAAAGGCGAGGCTGGGCAGGCGGCAGGAGGACACTTTTCTGAGAACAATACGCTGACCACTTTCCTACAAGCGCAGAGTTTGCTGGAGTATTAGTACCATAACGGATGTTAGAGAATTGGGAATCCGTGACAAGGGACACAAAATTGGAAGAGGGATAAAAAAGCTTGATCTAACAATTTAGCAGCAATTTAACATCCTTCTGCCTTGCAGAACAAAGGGAGGGTTTTGAATTTTTTTAGTTTCAGTAAGTTTGGGAAAGGAAAAGAAAGCGCAAGGCAACAGACTTTTGGAGCTAAGAATAAGGTGAAATGGTTGGAGGACTGGGAGGCAATGCAGGTGGGCGCATGACCGAGTGGGGAAAACAACAAAGCATGTAAAGGAGAAAGGCCTCTGGTGGATCTGTTTGCTGCAGGCTGGTGGCTCTGCCTGGTAAACCACCACCATGGCAGAATTCTGGCTCGGGGCCCAACAGAGGCCACATTCCTGGTGGGGGCGACTCCCTGCCTCTTACCTGTTCCAAATCCTGTTCCCAAGCCAGTTCCCAGAGTGCCAGCGGCAGGCTTGTTTCCAAACAGGCTGTTCCCCGTGTTGTTCGCACCAAACCCTGCAAACGAAGGAGGATCAGTGGGCTCCTTGGCACCCAGCCCCCCCTTCTTCGCAGACCCTGCGAACAAGCCCTTCGTGGCCATTAGCCCTTGAACTCCCGCAACGCCTTCTCCGAGGCCACAGCCGCGATTTCCCAGAACGACAGGGCTGGCTGTCCCTGCAGGGGAGGACCGGGCTCCTTCCCGTGTGCCTCAACATGCAGCCGGCCTCTAAGGCAGCATGGACTGTTGCTCAGCAAGGGCCATGTCACCATGACAGCCCCCCTTAGGGAGACCTGGGAATCTGCAACCAAGGAGAAACAAGGAAAGCCCTTTAGGCAGAAAGGAAACTGAGAAATAGGGTGAGGCAGAGGGGGCCTCCGGGGCCATCTAGCCTGGCCCTGGGCTCCAGCCGGCCCTGCTCATGACAGGCCCATCATGTGCCTGTCCCGCCCATCCTGGAAGAGGGCACCCAGCCGCCGGCGCTTTCTTGCTGTACTGCAGACCTGCTTTACGCAGCCCAAGTCATTGGCCTCCTCCTCCTCCTGGCAGTTCTTAACTCACTGGGGGCTTTACTCAAGTTGATGCAAAACTATGCAAGTTTCTCAGCACGAATTGCAAAGCTAGTGCTAAGTAAAAGCTGCCCAAAGTGCCTGGTGCCGGAACACAACGAGAAAGGAGCTCTGAGCGAGCTGCTAACAGGAAGAGCCTCTTACACTGAACTGGAGCAATCTTTCATGGGGGGATGCAAAAAGCTTTGCATGTGCATTCCTCCCCCCCTGCACCGAGCCTGGTCAGGCAGGGGGGCAACGCGGAGAAGTAGAACTGACCCCGGGGGCCACCTCAAGCAGTGTCCTCTGAGGCAGGGGCCCCAGGGAGCAGTCTAGCAAGGCGCTTGCATGCGGCCTCCAGGAAAGCTGTACGCCTCCTCGCAGAGGTCAACTGATTAGGTGAGCGAGTCGCCTTCCCGCGAGGAACTTAACCCTCTTGCACAACAGGCTGAGGCCTCCTGTGGCGAGAATGCCCTGGCTGCTCCTCCCAGGCATGCAAGCAGGCAGACACGGCTCGGCACGCCTTCCAGCCTTTGGCACAACTGACCCCAGAGCTTCCCATGTGATTCAGCCAATGCTCGGGGTGGCCGAGGCATCCGTTCTGCTTGTGCTTTAATGCAAACGTAACAGAATTCACACTTCCGAAACCGAAATACAAACACTAGCACAGCCTTGTTGCTGGTATTACAGAATGTGTGACACAATCCACAAAAAGTGCACCAAAACACAGGTATTTTCTAAAACGTGCACAAAAATCCATATATTTGCAAAAATGCACACAACATTTGAGAGGAGACGTGTACACTTGTGGAAGTGTATACAAAAAGGCCTGCATTTTGAAAAATGTAAAAGCAGACTAAAAGGACAGACTGCGTTTCCCCTGGACGTGCCCATCCGTGGGTTTGGGAGGAAAGTGGTTCTGTGACCCTAAAAGATAAGACCGTGCCAGTGCCTGTTTACACTCCTGTAAAATATGATAAAAAAGGGAGCCCCGCCCCCCAGCTCCACGTTGCCTACTTGTGCACAAAGACCTTTTTCCGCAGCATGAAGCCTTTTCCGCCGCCTCACACCCCAGAGCGCTTGACTGGGCCCTGCACACGCCAGGACCGAGCCCCACTTCTGTGGGCAACAGTGACTTTGGGGAAATGGGATCTGCGTGAAATTGAGCCTGACAGGTTCACCGCTCCGTTCAGTGGAAGGGGCAGCAGGTGGAAATAAACGGACAGGTGGGCCAGACAGAGGCACCTGATGAACATATTACCAAAAAGTCCACTCGTCGTCGTGCCAAACGTGGGTGCACTGGTGGTCGTGGTTCCAAATCCAGCTGGTTTGTTGCTAAATAGGGACTGAAATGAAAGCCTGTAAGCTTCACGGAGTCAGTCATGCGCTCACACACACCACAAATGCCTCCTGGCCCATTTCCTCAGCTGCCAAGGAGCATCTGGAAATATTGCCTCCCCTCCCACCAAAATGAAGCACCTCACCCGTCGACCCCCCAAACCTGAATGATGGCTGCCTGGGCCGCAGCTGCCCCGACTTCAGGACTGCCGCTCCCTGCTCGACACTGACGCGGCAGAGGGACTGGGGAGGCAGGGAGGATTCCTGGGACGAGCGTCCGCCTCCCCACACCTGGGGCCACAGGGGGGTGGCGGCCCCCTCAAGAGCTGTCCAACAGCGGCAGCTGCCATCCAGAACCCCGCCAGGGAAGGGCACAGCCAGAAAGACTCTTGCCGTCTCCTCTGCCCAGGGCACCTTCCCCGCGACACCAAAACCAACGGTGGAAAGACAGTTTTGACACTCGCCGGCATCATCCCATGACGCCGACTGGTGGAAGGTCTAGGACAGGTAAGGGGGAGGATTTCTTCCCACAGTACACAGTGAAGCTGTGGCGCTTACTGCCATGGGAAGCGGGGATGGCAGCCAGCCCACATGGCTTCGAAGGGAACTGGACAGATCCACAAAGAGGCGGCTCTCAGTGGCTCCTGGCCTGTGGGCTGTGCGCTTCCTCCTTGACCAGAGGTGGCCTGCCGCACATGCCCGCTGCCTAGGAGCTCGGGCGGGGGGCCCTGCACCCATCCTGCCGGAGGGACCCCGTGGAGAGCGGGCCTGCCGCCGTGGGAATGGAGTGCTGGGCTGGGTGGACCTCGGCTCTGGCCCAGCAGGGCTGGTCGTGCATTCTCAGGGCGGCCTCGCTCGCTGAGCAGCTTGGCACTTCATGGCGGCCCCCCCGACAGACCAAGGCCACAGGCCACTGGGACCGCGTGCCTCCCCAGCCTTCCCCCGCAGGCCTCTGGGGAGCCACTGGTGACACATGCCTCCAGGGCCACTGCGATGGAGAGTCGGCCATGGCTCCCCGAGGCTGTCAGAGCCCCTTCTGTGCAAACTGGGCTCACACCCAAGGCACGGCAGAGGGAGTGGGAGCGCTCACTAGGCATGCTTGCCTCTCCCTCCAGTGGAGACTTCTGGGGTGAAGGAGAGGCATCCAACCCACTCTGAGGTGCAACGAGGGGGCCGCTGGCTGGGTGGCTTTGCTGAAAGGGGCGGATTCCCTCATTCCTGCCTGTGTGTGGAGGGAAGCAACCGGGGGAGGGGGGCTGCGCAGGCACCCCACCGCAGCGGGAGAGGAACCCCCTTGGCTGGGCAAGCTGTGGAGACCCACAGCTGCTCATGGGCCAGCTGCTCAGGAAAAGGGGCCACCGCTCTCCTGCCCTTGCAATTTCCCCAGGAGGGGCTGCAGGTCCAAGGTCGGCCACCGCCGCCAGCGAGTGCAGCAGGGGGAGTTGCTGGAACGGGCCGTCCTTTCTCAACAGGCTCTCAGCCGTGGCGAGCCGCAGTGGCAAATCACCAGGACTGGGTCCTGCCGGCTCGGCAGCCAGGCCCTGGGGACAACCCAGGGTCCCCTGTAGCGCAGCAGGCCAGGCGTGGCTCCAGGACCGCACGCTGCCCCTCCCAACTGACGCTCATTAACGCGGCGTCTCGCTCCCTCTGAGACCGGGAAATGCTTCCTCAGCAAGACCATCCGCTTTGCTCGAACTGTGGCTTAGGATCCTGATCAGAAACTGACACTGGAACCGTCCACCAGTTTACACACGCACAGGGAGTGAATGCACCAACGTGCGGGAACTGCCCCTCAGGGAGCAGGTGTGGGGAGACGGAGCAGGCCGCTCCAGCACGTGCCCCAGGCCTGCCATGTGCCATTTTACATGGAGACCCATGACGGACCCGCCGGTCACTGAGCAACCAGCAGCACCAGGCGCTCGCTGCCGTTTTCAATAAGCAGAACCTCCCAGAGTTGTTCAAAGCCAGCTTTCTCGGGTATTTCTAATTATAACTGTAACGACTAGAAAAACTCCAACAGAGCTATTTCTTTTCATACTCTTAAAAAGAATCTGAACTACTTCCAACTGACATACCGAGCTACCAACACCAAAACCTGTATTGGTTTGTCCAAAGAGACTTGTCCCGGTTCCAAATCCGGTCGCGGTGTTTGTATTAGCCGCTGTTCCAAAAAGGGTTCCAGGCTGAGAGGGCTGCGTGGCTCCAAATAAACCCTGCAAGTGTGAGGGGCTGTTTGAGAAGGAGGTGCTACCTGCAACGCGGCCCCTAAATAGCCTTTCGCAGCAGTTTTGGATGCTGGAGGCAACTGCTGCACAATGCGTTTCTTTCCATACAACTGGACAAGCTCTGCTAGCGACAGTCAGAGAGGCCAAATCTACCGGAGTTTGGTTCAGCAGAAACGTCTATTTATTCGCCAGACAAAAAGCCCATTTTCCCGTCGGTCATTATGCTGTGGAAAAAATACTGAAGGGCTCGAGTCAGGGCAGGTCTGGCACTTTCCGAATGCATGCTTAGGGCTGGAGGCAGAAAGGCACCATGGGAATGAAGAACCAGCTGGCCCCTGCTGGGGCCCAAAGCCCCCACAACGCTCACAGCTTTGTCTCTGCAGATGAAGGCATTTTCCCACCACCTACAAGGACTGCTACTCCCTGCAGCTCAATCCCTTGCTTCCCGCATGGCTCTGCCAACTGCGCCCCATGTTCAGTGTAAGGCTTCTGTTGTCATTACCGGACATGAATATTAAAGGCACGATACTTTATATGAGTTGATTGTGGATTAGTTAAACATTGGGCGAAAAAATAATTTTAATTCATTAATTTAGGTGGCTAATTCCACAGCTAAGGTGGCAGCTCAGCACGAGGCAGAGACAGACACCGGCACACGCTGGATGGCTTGACAGAGGAGCATGAGGTATGGATTGCAAAATGCTGCTCTGAGGACCCCTGGAGGGCTGTGCACTCCTTCCCACCGCCAGGGAAGTGCCAGCCTGCCAGTACGGCTCCCCAGCAAGCCGCTGCAGGCCGAAGAGGAGGCGCCAGCTCTGCTGCCAGGCCAGCGGGCAGCCGGCAGGAATGCCCTGCTAGAGGCGCCTGCCCACGCCGCTGGCCTGCGCTCGGGGCGGCTGTGCCGACCGAGCCCCCCCGGGAGAGGGCAGAGGCGGGAAGCGCGCACCCTGCAGGCAGAGGGCCAGCACCCCGGGTGGCGGACCGTGGCCAGGGAAGACCCTCTGCCGTGAGGCGCCAGAGCTGGGGCTCATCTGTGCTGGGCTGCATGGACTTTGCAGCACCGGAGCTGCTTTGGGGCTTAGCCATCACTTTAACGCACCCTGGACAAACATTCGCTAGGCCCAGATGCAGCCGGAAGCTGCGCCCGCCCATCGTCCACCTGAACAAGCATTCGCCGTGCAAGCTCTGAGCAAAAGCTGCAGCGTCGAGGCACTGAGGCACCAGGAGACCTGGAGCAGCCTGGGCACAGCTCAGCTCTGGACCGGGCTACGGCAAGGGCCACTGGTTCAGGTGGCTTCAAATGGCATCAGGCCAGACTGTGGAGTGGGGAGGCCATCCATAGTAGCTCGCCGTGAAGGCCGGCAGCAGGTTGCCAGAGAGCATGGGCAGGAGGGGCACCCCTGCCCCGCTGCCTTGCTTGTGGATGCGCCAGGGGCAACCGGCTGGCCGCTGCATGGGCAGACCAGAGCCAGGCCCCGCCGTTCTTACACTCCGGTCCCCCGGCCGCTCTGCCCCGCTGAGCTCACCATTGTGCTTGTGCTGGGCTGCCCAAGTGTGTTCCCAAAGGAATAGCTCGCGTTCTGTGCCGTGGTGGCCTGGCCGAAGGGCTTGTTGAAGAGGCCGGTCGTCTGCTGCGTCTGGCCGAAGAGGCTGCCCGCGCCCGTCCCAAAGCCGGATGCGCCTGCAGTGGAGGGAGGGGGGGGGGGGGGGGGGTTCTGTGCTGCTGCTGACACGCCTGGCTTCCTCAGGACTGCCTGTCAGCCTCCCCAGGGACCTCTTGGGGTCCCGACTGGCAGCAAACATTCTAGTTGCCTTCTATCATTGTGGCTTTAAGTAACTCTGAAGGTTTCTGGAGCAATCCGACACTCTGGACTCCACCTCCCAACTACCCCCATTTTAAGGACGCTTCCTATGTTCAGACTAAGTGATGCTGTCTTGGGCGTCTGGGGCAGTTCACGAAGGTCACTGTTTCCCCCCGCACGGCCTCCTGGACAGCATCCCTTTGGGTTTTGCCTGCGGCCACCTCTCCTGTGGTCCGTACCTCCACCTGCCCTCACTCAGAGTATCACCAACGCTTACTTCTTTGTTGTGACCGGGGGGGGGGGGGGGACCCTTTCTGCTTTGGATGCCTCCCTGATGTCGTTCCTCATCTCAAGGCCACTCCGCTCATTCTGGGCGGGGAAGATGGGCGCAGGCTCAGCACTCACTCCGTGGTGGGAGTGGGGCCTTGTGATGGCCCCCACAGCGATTCCGTGGAGGAGCCAACTCGCTCTGAAGTTCCCCGTTTGTTTGATGCACACAGTGATAGCAATCTTGGGACACCTTCTCCTGGCCTTCTGCAGAGCAGGGGTGGGGAGCCTCCGGCCAGTCGGGCCCGTGAGAGGGCAAATGAGCAACTCCATCTCTCCAGGTCGGAAGTGTCCGACACAAATGCCGCTGCGCACTCAGCGACAGCCCCGAGGATGAAACACGGCCCGGGGCCGGGCCCGCTTTGCGCGCTGCTGCGCTGCGTCAGGACCAGGCGGCTGCCCCAAGGCTCGCCGAGGAGTCCCGCCCACCGGAACCGTGCGCTGCTGCACATGGCGGCCGAGAGGAGAACGGGGCGGAACGGGAGCCACTCCGGCCGGCAGGGCCCGGCCCTTCCGGAAATGGCAGGTGGCCTCAAGCAAAAAGGAGGACGCTCGACCCCGGCATGCAGAGCCTCACCATTTCATCCCGAGCGACCGCAACCGGCCAGAGGCCTCCCACGGGCCACGTGTCTCCTTGCTCCAAGCGCTGCTTGGCCCACACGGCTCTTCCCCGTTTTCCTGCCGCTTCCCAGCCACTGGCTGGTTAGCACCCCGTAAGCACGCGGTGCTTGCATCCCACTGGCTTGATCAGGGAGCGCACTCTGTCTGGATAGGCTGCTCCAAGCGGGAAGCAGCAGCGTGTTGCTCCCGGGCAGCATTTTATCAAGCGGACAGCTGGCACCACAAGCCCAAAGAGGGACCCCAGGGAAGCCGGCACCACACTTACTGGTTCCAAAGCCCGTCTTGTTCTGTCCGTAGGAAAAGCCCGCATTAGTGGTGGAGGAACCAAAGAGCCCCGTGGCTGCACTGGAGGTTGCAGTAGAAGACCCGAACAGGCCTGGAGTGGCCCCGGCTCCGACTGGGTTGGAGGGACCTTTCCTGTTTGCTTGATAGTCTTCCAGACGGAGTTCCTGAACGTGCCACACAGGACGACACGTGAACCCCCACGCAGCTCCACCCCCACCCCCAGTGCCACACCTGCTCTGCACTAATGGAGAGGCGGCACGTGAGCCAGGAAAGGTGCGGACGGGGGCGCCGCTCCCAGAAAGCGGGAGCAGCGCGGCTTCATCACCCGCGGCAAGACAGGCACCCAGGGGGCCACAGGTGCCCCCCCCGCCCTTCCCCAGCGACTGTGATGGGCCCAGCCCAGCACACGGTCTGCAGAGGCCGCCCCGCCCCGCCCCCGACGTGTGAGCGGGGGCCCGTGCAGAGGGGCCCGGCAGGCCCTGCTCAGCAGCTGCGGGCTCGCGGCACCCCGAGGGAAGAGCAGGCCACTGTCTACCCGGGCACAGCAAGCATCAGCCTGCACTGACCTCCAGCTCCCCGCGGGGGAGGCCTGCAGCAGGAAAGGGCGGGGAATGGCCGTGGCCCCACTTAGGCACCTGCCCCAGGCACGGCGGGGAGCCACGGCTCCGCAGGAGAAGCAGAGAGGCAGGCTGGGGTGCTGGGGAAAGGAGCGAGAAGGGGCAGCGTTCTGCGTCCGCCACGGTGCTCCACCGGCCCAGCCTTGATTAGTGGAGCCTGCCAGGAATGCCCATTTGACGCTCCGGGCAAAAACCACTCTGGGCAACTTTCAGGAAGGGCGCGGAAGGTGCCCCACAGCTGAGCCTCTTCGGAAAAGCCCCGCCTTGCCTCCAAGGGGGCAGCGAGGAGAGCAGCTCCAGTGCCAGAGCCACGGAGCGGGTGGCATGTAGGGACCCCCCCCCCCCAAAGACTAACCTCCAGGGATTTGCTCTCGTACTCTTTCATGGCAGTGATGCACTGATGCTTGGTGCTGATGTTTGTGCTGACTCCAGACTTCACCATCGTGTCAGTGCCAGTCGGAGGCTGTGAGAAAGAAAGGTTGCTGTCTTCTGGGCTCCCGGGGGCCCAGGTCCCACTTCCTGGGCCCCATCAGCAGACCATCAGCACACAGGGGAGCAGCGGCGCGCCTGTGAGCTTCAAGGGGCTGCTCGGGCGGGCCTCCACCTGGAAACAGGGACTCCCGCTCAGCTCGGAAGTGCTCTGGGTGGCCAGGATATTTTAAGGGCAGCCACCGCTTTTGTGGGGGGGAGGACTGGTCACAAAGCAAAATGGCCAGGCTCTGCTTACCATGATACACAGAGAATGGGAACATTTCTCAGAACTAAGCTGCACGTGGCCCGTGCCTCTTTCTGACCACATCTGCAAAAACCCCTCCCTGCGAGGAAGGAAGCCCTGCTGCCTTGGCCTGAGTCTGCTGCTGCTCCTGATGCTGCAGGTGTGAGACATCCCCACCCTCACACCTGCTCCTTATGGGAAGGACCGCCTCTCATTCCTGCCCTCCAGTCTGTGTGTCTCCGCCTCCCTCTCCATCGGCTGCTACAGAACTCCCCTTAAAGGGGCCTGCACCACAGCGGTTCCTTCAAAGACATGGGGCTGTGCTGCTGCCTGGCACGGAGAGGATGGGCGCTGCCTCGGGCCAGATCGGGCCCTGGGCCCACCTCGTTCAGTTCGGCCTACACTAAGTGGCAGCGGCTCTTCAGGCCTTCAGAGAGTTCCCTGCGCTGCCCGAAGATGCCAAGGACTGCTTCCGCACCCAAGGCAGGGGCTCTGCTGCCGAGCTACAGCTCCTTCTCAAGCGATCGCACGCTACTGCTGTGCTGTTCTCAACCAAGTCTTCCCTTTCCCGACCTGTCAACCTGCACGCACAGGTGCATCAGTGCAAGTGTAACAGAAAGCGATGCAAAACACCTCCACCATTCTCTCCTTTGTGTATGACATGACTAGTCGCCACAGCAAAATTGTTCTGGGCCAGTTCAGAGGCTTCCCTCCCTCCCTCCCTCCACTCTTTGAACCGGGCGCAGTGCTGAGACCAACAGAGGCCGTGCCAGATTTAACTGCGGCACGGCAGCCACATGCCACCGCCCTGCGCTCAGGAGCAAACGAGCCCCAGTGGGAATCACCACCAGCAAGCCGGGCTGCCACATCGAGCAGGGCCCCGTAGCCAGGCCCCTCTGCACGACCCCTGCAGGGGCCGGGCCAGGCACCCGTCACTGGAATCAGCGCTGCAAGCCAGTGCCATGAGAGGGAAGGCTCAGCGACAGCTAGAATTCATATGAACCGGGAAATGGCCTGCACTTACATTAAATTTAATGGTCGTGCCAGTTGGAACAGTCGCAAAACTAGTAGATCCAAACAGGGAGCCGGATGTGCCCCCAAAGGGATTGGAGGTCGTATTGGTGGTTCCAAAGAGGCCGCCGCTGCTAGTACTTGTCCCGAAGTCTGAAAAGAAAAATGAATGCGGTGTGCAAATGACGGCTGCTGCGTTTCCCGCACTATGCTCAGTGGATGGGAAACAGCTTCGCAGCGGCAGCGTTCAAAGTTAGCTGAAATACAGTGTGAGGTTTGCAGAAAGGAGCATGGATCCCAATTCCCATTAGCCTGTGTTTCGTTCCTGTGCTGCCGTATTTGGTCCCGTACCCAGTGAGCCAGCTCAGACATCCATTTGAACCAGGACGCTCCTGCCTTGCACCACGGCTGCTGCCAGCGGGCACGAGGCCCAGAGCGCCCAGTGGTTCCCGCAGGCATTTCTCAGATCCTTCACTCACTGTGACTATCAAGTATCATCCGCGCGCACAGAGCTTGCCTGTTCCACACTTAGAACGATCAGGCATGTTAAAGGCTGTGAGATGAAGTGCCAGGAGGTATTATGAAAGCAGGGGGCCTGCAGGCTTCATGAACCCACTCGCTCCTCCTGCGCCGAAGCCAGAGGGGACGTGGCCAGAGGAGGCCTGCTCTGCTCAGCAGGACGGCCCAAGCCAGTCGCCCGTGCAAACAACACCTCAGGCAGCTCTAGAGTCAGGGTGGGTGTGAGAAAATAAAGCTGTGCTCACTGCCAAACCCCACGGGTTTATTTTGTGCAAAGGCATTGTTCTGCGACGAGAAGAGGCCTCCACCGGTGCTTGCTGTCCCGAACAAGCCACTGGACGTTCCAGTTGATGTTCCAAACCCAAATCCGGTGCTAGTGGATGAGGTGGCTGGCTGGCTAAAGGTACTCGATCCAAACAGCCCACCTGCAACCGGAAGCAGCGAATCAAATTAGGGACACAAAAGCACGAGGCAGCGGAAGCTGCCAAGATGCAGGGGGCATCAGTAATGGCTGTACCTGGCTTGGTCTGTGCTGTCCCAAAGAGTCCGCCCGTGTTGTTGTTCGATCCAAACGCAGATGCTCCGAAAGCTCCTCCACTGGTTGTGCCAAAGCCAGCATCTGCAGAGCAGCAAGAGAGCACGGGGCCTGAGCACACGAGAGGGCCGGCCCTGCCGAGCAAGGAGCTGGCTGCATGCTGAGGCAGAGCCCCGGCCAGGCTGCAGGGAGCGCAAGGGGATCACTTCCTGAACGGTGCATGGCCAGGCGAGCATGCTCCCGAGCACTGCAGCGCTTCTGCATGGGCAGGCCAGGCAATTCAGAGCCATTCAGGCAAATCCTGGGTACACAAAATGTCAGCACGCGGGCAAACATATTCCAGAGACTAGGGAAAGCTGCAGCAGTTAAAGCTGAGCCACCACCGAAATGAAAAACAACTAAACCCCAAACTCACAGCTCAGAGGGGCAGCAGGCACAAGTAATCTCAAATTCCACCCCGCTTTCTCCGGTTAGGGGAAAAATGCTTGATTTAGAGTGCAATTCTGCATGTTTAGATAGAAAACAGTCCTGCAAGCATCAGCCCAGCCCAGCCAATAGAGCCAGCTGGGCATGCCACAAATTACAGGACCTTTTCTGCCGAAGCACATACGAGGTCACACCCTTGCTGGATTTCCGTGCTGCCACCCAACTCCACGATTCTCTGGGTGTCGTGGCAATAATAAAATCCCATTGAAGTATATTATAGCAAAAGTTATAAAATCTGCAGTCTAAAGATCTGCAGAGGAGGAGAACCCAATCAGATGGCTGAAAAATGTCACTGTGCATAAGCAGTGTTTTAAAACTATAGCAGGCGGCAGGAAAAGCTTCAGTCTGGAGAGCTGCTGCCAGTCAAAGCAGAGGACTCAGAGCAAGCTTCCTGGTGTCCACCAAACGGCAACTCCCCGGATTCTTGACTACTGGCCACAGACATGAGTGCAAGACCAAATGTTTTGCAGGGAATCTGATAAGGCCATTTCTACGGTCTCATTCAGACTGTTACTTACTCTGTCCAAAAGCTGAAGTTGTCCCAAAACCGCCTGTGTTGCTACCAAAAGGTGTTCCAAACGATTTGTTAAACATTTTGAGGCTGTTTCAGGTTCTCAGAATCTAAGCAAAGAATATAAAAAGAAAAACCCTTTCAATTCATCCAGCTTTGAGAAACCCATGCCTGGCTTTACTCAGGGAAAAGCTCCAAATGCAGGTTTTAGCGCACCCCCCCCGCCCACTAATATAAAAAGCAGTTTCATCACAAGAAGCTGGCAGGTCCTTTGGGACAGAAATTGCCACAGCCGCCCAGTAGGATGGCTCTTGTCAGGAGAGAGGCAGGAAGTGCTGGTTCTCTCAAGTGCTTCTGCTCTCAGGCGCCTCAGTGTCCAGCACATTTGGGCTTGCAAGTGCCACAAAATGCCAGGCCGAGACAGCGCAGTGTCCTCAGCAAGCAAGGACTGCTGAACAGGGGCCACACCTACAAACTCGCAATCTGCGTTAGGATTAAAAACTCTCCCCTGCGCATCTAAATTCCATGGCTTCTAGGTAATTCAAGTAGGAGGCCAGCAAGGGGTCCTATTCCTGCTGTTCCCAAGGCAACCGGACCTTTGCATGTGAATCAGTCCATCTGCCACTCCCTCAGCTGTCCTTGCCATTGTGAAACAGAAACATGACACATAGGAGGACAGGTAGAATTTGCTAAGAAGCTGCAGAAATGCAGCAACAGCTCTTCTAACAATTAGGCAAGATCCATATTAAGACGACAATTCCTCTCTGCTCCAGGGGAAATGGAAACCAGGCACACCCAAGGTCACTGACCTGAGGGGAAACCATGGTGGGATTTTACTGAGCCGGAAGGATCAGTGAGAAATTAGTAATGAAGTTGCTCTAGAAGACCAGCTAAAAGCGGGGAATACTGGACTGAAAACTGGTCTCCAGAGACTCTCTGCAGAGACTCACAGATGCTCACCTATGCAGACATGAGCACGTTAGTCACGCAACGGCACTGGCAACCAGCCTTAAGCAGGTTTCTTGCTTCAAAACCAGTTACTAAATTCTACTAGATACCCTTTCAGTTCAGCCCAGGGGATATACACAGTTAAAATGTAAGTACCTATACTTATATAGAAGTATATAAGATTAGAATCAGAGGAAACACAAATGAAAATTGGCTGAAGATGCATTAATAATTTAACATACGCAGATATGCTCCTTATATGTTCTGCATACAGACTGAACAGCCAAGGAGGCAAAATACACGATTGCCCGATGCTTCTACCCATAAGAAAGGATGTCGTTTCTTCATATTCTGTCCTAACAGTTGCTTCTGGTTCATGGTAGAGGTTACAAACCAGGGCAATCAAGTCCAGAGGTTCACTCATTTCTTTCAGGATCATCCAAGTTTCTCATGATACTGCCAACTCTTAGAAAACTCTCAACTAGGACATGATGGATGTGCTACCTTCCTAGTTCTTCTTAGTATTTGATGCCAAGAAGTGGTGCAGTCATCAGAGGGTGTCCTCTCTGATGGGGCAAACCTGTGCCTGAAGTCACTTTCACTTTCAATTCCAGGGGGGTGGCTTTCACGGTGGGTGTTCATGTGCAAGCACAAAACAAACTGGCACCTGGGTACTGTCACTCTCACATGATACAGCCTAACAGGTTTTATTTGTATAGGTGTATTCTTCTGCCCTGCATAGGTTGTTAAGGAAACAATTGCCTGATGCCTAGAAGGCACCTGAGAGGCACAGGGTATGCCAGATTCTGTGACCCAAGGTCAGAGACAGTGCTCCTCCCCCACTCCCTTACAGCTGGCATGGAAAAACCAGCTGAGAACCATGCCATATACGGTCCGAGGTCAGGAAGTCAACTTCAGAAAGGGGAAAAGGCAGGGAGGAGATAGGAAATGATAAAAGCTGTCCCAAAGTCTCCCCCACCTCCTTCCCTCTCCCTCTAAAACAACAGTGATGCACCACTTAAGAAGCCCATCTACCAAAAGTTTCAAAGCAGGAGGTGGGAGGTGAATGTCACCCCCACTGGCCCTTCTTCCCTGTTTAGGCTGCGCATTAGTATATGAGATCAGGGCTCATGAGTATCCAAGAACAACCTGTGGCGTTCTAAGCTATACTGGTGACTTGTTTCAAGCTTTCCTTTTGCCCCTTTTTGTGCTGGCCCAAGTCTGCAGCTTGGGAGCATGGCCATGGACAAGATGATCAAGCAGGCAAGTTCTGCTGGAAGGTCCTCCTGTGCCCTGGAAGTGAATCAGCAGAGTGGGCAAACAGGAGTTTTGTGTGGATATTTAGGGAAGGCAGAGAGGAAATTCACCTTGCTGCCTGACACTGTGGCCTAAGCCTGCATCAAGTGCAAGCCAGCAGCTTTTTTGGAGGAGATGGGGAAGGGGCTCTAAGGACAGAGTTGAATGCTTCCATTTAGTAAGGCGGTAAAAAGTAATTAGACAAGAAGCGGGAGGCTCTCCTGAAGAGGCACCTGAAGGAGGAAGTTTCCTAGCAAGTGGGAGAACAGTGAAAGAACCCAGTATAAAGAACCAATGCATCGGAAATATTCTGGGCTAACACCACACTCTTGGCATGGGATGTGGCCCTGGGCTACCTGCAGCTGAGTCATTTGTTGGTACTCCACAAAATATTAAGGAGAATTTCAGCCCAGGTGGATGAGAGGAATGTATTGATAAACAGCAGAAACAAGAGTGGCTGACGAATGCCCGGGGAGAGGGATGGAGGCCCGTGTCGGCCCAGCTGGCGTACCGTCTGCTCGAACCATGTGTCTGAGCTATGACATTACGGAGAGATTATGGGACCCACTAAGGCAAGCAACCACCACCCTCTCCTGCCGTGAAAAGACACGGCATCACTGCAGAAAATGCCAAACAGAACTCTAAAGTTCACGAGGCTCTGAGTGAAGGACATGGGGGCATAAGTGACATTTTCATTACTGCTCCCTGTTGGAAGATGAGGAAGTTGATAAGAAAAAGAGAATACTGAGAGTGAGCACCTGTTAACATTGATTTTGGGGACCAGGATCTGCAATTCTAAAATATAGTACTATGATGAATCTTAGTGCTGTATATGAAGAGCTCTTTGCGGAGAGTGGGATGTCCTTCCTGAGACTTTGAAGAAAGTGTTTGGCAGAAACGTTAGAGCTTGATCAAGAGCACTTTAAACTAAATGGGTGGTGGTGGTTAGAAGCCCAGATTGGTTATGAAGCCAAATATTAAACACAAGAAAACAGGGGACAAAAAAAAATAAAACAATGAAAGTGGGGCCCAGTAATTTGCAAGTCAATCAGCAAGGAAAACAGGATGATATAACATCTGTGTTCAGATGCTTATACACAAATATCCGGAATATAAATAGCCAATGACTTTGGAATTCTGCTGAGAGAGGGTAGCTATAAACTCATCACTATCACTGAGAACCAATGGGATTGAAATCATAACTGAAATATAACAAGGAAAAAGTACATTTGCTCCAAAAACCATACCCATCCTAAAAGGAAGGAAAATAATGTTAATGTTATATATAAACACATACACCTGCATGGAAACCCATGAATATGAGACAGCAAGCTGTATTGGAGAAAGACAAAACAATGATTCTGTTGCTCTCAAAAAGGGGGTTATTTATACAAGTTCTGTCCCAGCTTGTTTTCTGGCAAACTGTAAAAGCATACTTCTTCAGTTCAGCCTTGATTAATACTTAATATTGCAATTTCCTACTGGCAATGTCTCATTCTATTTCTGTTTGAGATTTTGTTAGTATTGAAAACTGTATAGCAAGGGACTGAAAAGTAGCCTCACAAGGCTTTTAAAAAAGGCAGGAAATTCACATTGAGGGCTTCTGTGCACTTGAGCCTTCTAGGAGCTCAAGCACAGTTTTCTGAATCCTTAGAAAAACAAGGCCAGCATTGACAATGACAACTGATCATTGTACTTAAAAATATTCTGTAAAATTGGAAAAAGAACCAGGAACTGTGTGCTACCTCCAGGTCAGGGAACGTCACAACATCTGGGATTGTTGAGGTTATGCAGGGTGGGAGGAACAGGCAAAAGGAGATGTGATAGAGGACCAGAAGAGATTTTGATCCCTTTTATAAAACTGTCTACAAGAAATGAGCAGCGCTGTCAAAGACAGGGCATTCTGGCAGGCGTTCGTTCATGGCGTTGCCACAAGCTAGGGACAACCCAATAGCACATAGCCACCCACAATACTAGCGCCCAACGAGCCCATCCTATGAAGAGGAGCTTCACACAGCACTCGTGGGCCTCGCTTCCACGCATCGGCCGGCTCTGAAAGAGACGGAGTCGTGCGGCTGAAGGGGATCCGTGGCTCCCCGGGCAGGCTGCCTGTACAGCTCAGCTGCTGGGAACTTCAGCGGCTGACGGACCCCGCGGGGATGGAATAAGGGACGGGACGGAGGCTTGGCCTGATCCAGCCGGGTGCTTCGCGGGATCTGGCAAGCTGCTCGCCTCCCCGCGAAGCTGAGCGGCGGGAGTCACAGCCGCTGAAGGGAGGCCTCGGCCCGGCGGAGTTTCCACGAGGTGCGAGCCCCGGGCGGGGCATCCGGGCAAGAGGGGGCGGCCCGCCCCGGGCGCCTGCGGAAACGCGGCTCCCGCCACACGCGGGGCGACGAGGCCCGCCGCCGCCGCGCACAGCGTGCGGCAGCGCGTCACCCGCGCGG